ACTTATTGTTTTTATATACTTAATTTATTCAATAGTATTTTGTAGATTAATATAAAGACCTTTATATATTAGAGCTAATTGTAGTAATATAGGGTTACATTCGGGAATATTATAATAAGTGTTTATAATTTGATCTTGAAGTATTAATTTTGATTAATATGAATTAACTAAATTATATTATGAATTCTAAAAAAATTTAAGTAAGATTTCTAATTATTATAGAAATATCTTTTCAGGATTGTTTTATATGATTTATAGAAATGTTATATTATATTATTCAATAAAGTATTTCTATTATCTTTTTTAAATTTCAAAGTATATTTATATTAATATTAATAGATTCTTAAAATTAAGATTTTTGTTAGCAATCTTATTAAAATAAAATAATAAAATATTATTCTTAAATATTATTGAAAAGGTATTATTATATTAATTTAATTCAATATTAATATTTCTATAAAATTTATAAAACATTTAAAGTTTTTAATTAAAAAGATTATATTCTTTATTATTATATTTATAATCTTTATTAATATACATCTTTATTAAATCTAAAAAAGATTATATGTGTACTTTGTATATAATGTATATAATATATCTTTTCTTAGTATTATATAATCTAATATTATATAAGATTTGAAATGAGATTAATTTTAATTTTATAAATGTAATATAGATGTTTGGTTGAATAAATTTGAGATAGGTATTAATATATATGTTAATTTTTGGATTTAATTATTTCATATGTATTTGAATAGCTCGATTTTAGATCCTCTACTTTTTTCTCAATCTCTTTTATATATTTATTTAATATTTCTTTTAAAATAAATTTAATAAGAATTTTAATATAATTTAAATTACCTTTTAATTATAGAATTTAGAAATTATAAATAAGAAGTTAAATTCATAGAAATTTAAATACTTTATAATATATAATTTTAAAAATAGTTTTAATTTAATCTTTATATTATTCTCGAAATTCATTCTATAATTATTATTTTTTATATTATCTGAATTATAAATTAATAATTTACATAATAATATTAATATTTATTTGGGATTTTGTAAGATCAGAATTGTTTGAGTTTAATTATTTTCCTTAAAATATAAAGTTTATTTTATATAAAAATGTTTTAGGAATTAAAAAGATTATATTGAATAGTAATATTCAATATTATATTGTATTGAACATATTTTATATAGTATATATAAGAGTATAATAGATATAGATAGAATTAATATAAATCAAATTATTCTAAAGAAATTATAATTATAATTATAATTAGGGATTTCTTTTTAATATATAATTCAAAAAGATAGTATAAAGAATATAATATTTTAATTCTTTAATATAAATTGTATGTAAATTTAATTTAATATGATTTTGTTTGTCTTTTCAAAAGATATCTTTTCTTATTGGATTTAATCTTATCATTTTGTAATTAAGTTTAATCAATTATTGATTAATATTGAACAGACTTAGTAAAATATATATACATAATATATATATAATATATATAAATAAAAGGATTATTTATTTCTATCTATCCTCTTCATATAAAAAGGGAATTGCTATATCTATATATATGTACTACCTTCACTTATGCACTTCATGTATATATGGGGTAAAGTGTGACATGTAATGTCACGTTGTTGGTCACGTGTTCCGACAAAAAGCTTGTTCTATAATAGCTACAATCTTTCAAATCTCAAATATACCCCCAAACATCCCCAATATATACTACATACCCCATAAATACCCCGGACACTCGGGCAATCTATAGGGTGATTACTCTACCCCATAGAGATAGAGCTGAGTGTAATACCAGCCGGGTTATACCCCGGGTTACCCCGGGTAACCCCGGGTATACCCTATTCAGTGCCCAGCCCTGTTTTATAATGTAATAATATGATTATTAATTTAATTAAAAAAATTAAAATGTAACTTTAAAAGACAACTCATAAATATTATATAATAAAATATAATTTCAAATAAAATAATTAAATTAGGATTTTAAGAAAAATGAAAATTATAGAAATTATAAAAATAAAAATAATTCAATAATAAACTGAGTTCGCTTATAAGTATTTAATAAATTTCTTTTGAAATTTTGTTAATAATAATAAAACTATTATATTATACTTCCTTAAAAAGCAAGAGGCCTATGGGCTAGTAAGCCTCTAATATATTATATATTTATTAGGATTTTTTAGTAGGGAATGTCTTTAATAAATTCTAAATCACTTAGTAAGAATTTGATGAATAAATATATCTTAATTACAATATACCTAGAGTTAATTATATACTCTAATTAGTTTCGAATATATATTTAGTTATATATATTATAATCCATGGTCTTAGTATAGCTAGATAGACCGAATCGATTATGAATTTACTACTACTACTATATTATAATCTCTTTTTATAATATTATAATATTATAACTTATTTTTATTTCTTAAATCTATAATGTCTATATTTAAAATCCTAAAGTAATTAATTTTCTTTTAATATATATGAAGTCCTCAGATCGCTTAATTTAAATTCTTTGATTATTTTAATTATAAATTCATTAATAGTTTTCTTTTATTAATTTAAGTTTCACTCGGCTTTATAGCTATATTCCCGCGACATATTTAATTAAAGACATTTCGAGATTTTAAAACTTGATTTAATTAAAGAGAATTTCAAATTCAGTAGAATCTCGTTTTAGCTATTTATAAGATTGTTATTTTATTAAGTTAGTGTTTTATATATAATTTAAAGAAGTATATAGACTCGAGAAAACTTAATTTCTTTAATCGTATCGTTAATTTATTTGTTACTACTATTAACTCTTTATAATATATTTTTAAGAGAATAATCGAGGTATATAGATATTAGAGAGATAATTATATCTTATTTCTTTATATGTTTATTTATTGACTTTTTCATATATCGGTCGATATCTAAGTAGTAAGATAGATAGTAGGTAGATGAAGAGAGAGAGATAGATAGACTTTAATTATGTTTTTTATATTATTCTTTAAATCTTCTATATATCTATAATAATTAAAGGGGTAAGTAATATTAAACATACTTAAATACATTTTCACTTTAGACCTCTAAATAAATTTAATTATATTCTTAATTGAAAATTCATTAGAGATTTACCTCCTTAATAATCTTACTGTTTATAATAACTATAGTATTATATTTATATAAAAATGAAAACTCTCGCTTAATGAGACTCATTTCAAACGATCTAATTAGTTAGAATGAATTTTAACTTTATTAGTATTATAATACAACACGATATCTAAAAACATTAATCATCTTTTCTAATAAAACAATTTTAATTAAATTGAATTAAGAATTAAAAAAATGATAACTATATAAAATAAGCTAAAAGCTTTTAAATGATATAATTTTTATGATTCTAATTTCAAATATAGGATCTATATAAAGGATTAAAGTTTGTATATAATTCTTTTCAAACGAATTAAAGGTTTATTAACTTTCTTAGTATTATCAATAATACGTACGCGAGGTAAAAATTAGGAATTTATTATTATTATTATTATTATTATTATTATTATTATTATTATTATTATTATTATTATAAAGATTAAAAGAATTAAAGAAGTTAAAAGAAGATAAACCGACTTCGCCTACAAGCTCTTAATACAACTACTATTCAAAATCATATTTAAAAATTTATAATAATAAACATTATTAAATAATACTTTCTCGAAAAGGAAGGAGTCCGGGGGCTCGCAAGTCTCTGATATAGTATACTCGAGATAATAAAAGTATTATAAAAGTTATGTTTTATTTATATTTTATTCAAAATCTTATTTAGAGCCTATTTAAAATCTATAGAAAGCTTTCAATACTTCAAATACTATAAAATCATTAAAGTTGATAAAAAGCAAGTAAAAGCTTTTGAATATTCAATTTGAGGGGGACAGTTCATTATCTATTCAATTCGCTTAAAGCAGCAAGAAGTTCTATAAAAACAGCAAGATTTCATTACTTACTCATGTATATTCACATCTTTATTCATATCTATAGTTAACTATCAAAACATCATATCTATATCTATATTCATCTCCATCTCCATTTTTTCATCTCTCTCATCTCCCTTCATGTTTCCCATCTCATCCCTTCTCATCCCTCTCATCCCTTCTCATCCCTCCATCTCCTATCTCAAACCCACCAATTAACAATGAATAATAGTAATTCAGTCACAACCACAACAATCCGGATCAATTCCCCCTTCTCCTCCCCTTCACTTCAACTCGTCCACTTATCTATCAACTTTGATTTATAATGCAGTGCTCATGCACGCGCTAAACCGCACTCGCCCGTATTCGCTTAACGTATACGGAAATTTTCGCGCCAATAACCTTATCTCACGCTCCAAGCAAGTGACAACCATCCAAATCAAATTAAATCAACAATTTTTACCTTGGGGAAGGAAAAGCAAGAAAAAATGTCCCAAATCAGAGGAAACCCGAGGAAAGGAAATCAGAGGAAAATACTCCATGTATCGAACCCAGTATTATTCCCCATTGAGTCGTATCGCTTCGTAAGACTGCGCGGGAACCTTGAAGACTTGGCTGTGTGTCTTTTGTATATAACATATATGGATGTGTATTTTCGACGATTCCGTCTCCTATTCTTCTCGAGTATTTTTCTATTTAAAATCCAACCTTTACATTTGTGTTTACTTTATTTTGTTTATTTTGATTTGATTTGGGGTTTTAAGGAATACTACACTATACGATACGATACGATACTATACTATACGTTACGATACGATACGATACTACACAACAAGTGCATGCTCTAGACGTTTATTTGCACTACAGTGGTTTATATATATAACAAACCGCACTTCTCTCCCATCTCCCTCTCCCTCTCCCTCCGCCGCGGCCCACCCTTCAACCCTTCATCAACAAATATAATCACACAAAAAGACGGCATCCTCCCCCAACTCCCACTACAAAAAGCGAAAATGTCCAACTCCTCGTCCCCAACAGACCATCCAGCCTACAAATTATACCGCTACACGCCGAATATAGTAGCGGCGGCGATTTTTCTAGTCCTCTTCGCAGCTACGACGTTGTATCACATATACCAGATGATCCGGAAGCGATCATGGTACTTTACTCCTCTTGTCATTGGCGGTATATGTATGTATTTTTTTTCTTCATCTCATTCCCGCCCTCCTCCCTCATTCAAAACCACAATCTTATACAATACAAATAGTCGAGATTATCGGATACGTTGTCCGAATCATGGCGCATTCCAACAAGCAATCCATTCCCATCTACAGTATCACTACGATTCTGATCCTGCTCGCACCCGCGCTCTTCGCCGCGTCGATATACATGATTCTCGGACGATTGGTTGTCGCACTCGACGCCGAAGATATGTCGCCCATCCGCAAGAAGTGGATGACCAAAATTTTCGTCATTGGAGATGTCATTGCATTTTTGAGTCAAGCAGCCGGTATGTTATGTAGTGTGCTTGGGTTCCCCTCCCGAGAGTCGATAGTGAGTGAGGAATATATGTACTGATCTCGAGGTGCTTTGATACAGGTGGAGGAATTATGGCTAGCGGAACCGCCACCGCTTTGGCGACTGGAGAGCATATTACGATAGCGGGTCTCGCCATCCAGCTTGGTTTCTTCAGCGTCTTCATACTCACCGCGACGATTTTCCATCGTCGATTCCAAAGAACCACAAATACCGCGCCGATGAAAATATCCGTTAAATCCATGATGAAGAACAAGAACTGGGAGGCTCTGCTGTACGTATTGTATATTACGAGCGCATTGATCCTGATCCGTTCGGTGTTTCGCTTGATCGAGTATGCCGGGGGAAATGACGGGTATCTGTTGTCGCATGAGGTTTTTGCTTACATCTTCGATGCAACGTTGATGTTTTTCGTAATGGTCATACTCAATATTTTCCACCCATCCGATGTCATGGGAGATAAGGCGGCCTTGCATGGAAGCACGGCCATGTCTTTGCGTAACTGGAATTCGGAGCCTGAAGTCTGAAGAGGGATTGCTAGATGTCCTGGTGGATTGATGATTGTAACTTTTTGGTGTCAATGATGTATTTCGTAACATAGATGCGAAGCAGGGATGTAGAACGAGATTGAATATTACTATAACTACAGTAAACCCTGGTTATACTGATATTGAATATCTCGATAGACTTATACCAATATACCTTTATGTACTACTATATACACCAGTGACCTCTTTGTCAATATTGGTACAAGTTTGATGATAAAAATAATGTATCAAATCTGAGAAGCTTTTATCACCTAACCAAATCCAGGACTATCGAGACTGTTTATTCATACATAAGACTGAATTATCATATTCTTTCGAAAAATCGGCCACACGCTAGCAAGGATTATTATTTTTAAGTCCAATTAGCTTCCCTCTAAATGAAGTAAAGCACCCCAAAATAGTAGTATTTGATAGAAATACAAGGCATTTGATGAATAATTCATTGATTGAACCAATCAAGCAACTCTGATGATTTCCGTAATCCTAACCCACGATGAGCTTAAATAATTTGTCCTTGCTAGCGCATGGCCAATTTTTTGAATGAATACGGTAGCCACACACATACCTTGATATACCGAGATTTGTTGATCGAATTATTTGAATCAGTATAACCAAGTTCTACTGTATAATGTTTGAAAAATTATCGTGGAGAGAACTGACCCCGTTTCATCGTATGAGCCTTTGACCCTGACCCTTGCTTGAAGGCTGGACTCTGGAGTTTGTCCGAGGCTAGACCGATCCTCAATCTCATAGCCTCACCGACGCTTTTGGGAAGGCAAGTAGATCAGCGTACGAGTCGCCTAGGATGGATACGCTCGTCTCGATTAGATGCTTTCCCCACCCCCGGAAGAACCAGAACGAGTCGAGCCGATGTAATAAAACTCCAAAATAAGCAAGAATAAGAACGGCGAGAGGGTTTCGTTGAGTCAGAAGAATGACAAAGTCGCTGGAAATTCTAGAAGGCCACATAAGTCCAGCTATAATTGGTGACATCGAGCCTCTGTCCACCGTTATCTTCCTGATCATCTCGAATGAATAAAAAAGCAATTGAACGGCATCTTGGCAAGCTTCAGATGTGTTCGTACATGTTTCAGCCTTGCAGCGAGTAGCAAGATCGGATAGAGCACGCAGCTCCGTAATAACGTCGCCGCCAATGTCGGGGTATAAATCTGTAGGCGGACCACTCCGTAGAGTAGCGTAGAGTTCATCAGAGAAGATGTTTTCCGCCCACAGACTATGCAAGCCAGTCATGCCCCTGACCAAGTTGGCGCAAGCCAAGAACTCATCAATGCCGCGATCGCCCTTATTTGACTTGAGTAAGTATCCATCTGCGCGAAGAAAGCAGAATCCACACATAGCCAAAAAAGCTGAGAACAAGAAGGCTGCGCGTTGACTTTCTGGCGAGATGTCGCCGGTATTTATGAGACGCCGGTACTCTACCAGTGCCGCATTTTGGTGGTGGGCAGCCTCCGCCACCATGATTTGAGGATTTTCGCACCCATCAAGGGCAATGTGTAAAGCAGATAGTGAAAGAATCCCGCGAAGAAGAAAATCGTTCCGCATGGCTATCTGTACGACGGATGTCTGCCATACTTTTTGCTGTGGAACAATAGTGCTGAGAGAGTCATAAACATTGGTCGTGTAATGGTGAAGAAGTTTGAGAGCTTCAATGTTATATGCTTGTGGCATGTGAAACGGTGATAAGGAGGCACCGGGTGATGATACTACGACTTGAGAATGAGTACCAGACATCTGCTGTGAACTCTCTCTCGAAGAGGTGGAAGGTGGTGGTTTTTTCTCCCACAGATATGTGCAGGTTATCCAGCGATCTTGACAGTTCCCACAATTGGGACGACGTTCATCACACTTATTGATCGTGTTAGTTATGGATATTGTAGCAGAATGCGCTGCGTGGCTCATGATTACGTATACATACCTTGAGGTGCTTCATTTTGCAGGCGGTGCATCCTTTCCGCGATTTCTTATGAGGCCGTCTGGTGGCCATAGGAGCAAAGTGACAGACAGATGGGCTATAAAATTTAATGACTAGTTACAATCGTTGCATCAAGCAAGCTGGAAAGTCAAGTATGGAACGAAAGAGCGACGAAGTGTAATTGGTAGATGTATAGAGGTTGACGACGTAAGTAAGACAGATTAGTATAAAACACACTAGAAAGCGATCGAGCGTTTCCCCAGTTTTATTGTTTGGGCCAATCATATCATCACACTGATTGAAAAGTATATTATGGACTTTAGAAGGTGAAATTATTATAAGATTTGATTGATTTTTAAATATTTTATTATAAGTTATAGAGGGTTAAAGTTGAAAGTTTTCAATTTTCGGAAAAATATTAATTTCGTAGAAGAAAAACGTTATAAGTTAAAGAAAGTAAGTTTTTTAATTTAAAGCTTATTACTTTTTAATAAAAACTAAAAAAAATAATCGTGAACTTTTCTATTTAATTCAGATTGAAGTAATTTTATTTTCAAATTTCAAAATAATTATTATAGAGAATAGCTACGTTACTTAATTACTTTAAATAGAAAATAATAAGAATAAGTTATAATAGATTAGATTGACTTGAGATATAATTATAAGAATTATATTTATCTTTTTTACTCTGAATAAGCGACGGAGTCGCTTATTTAGATAAAGATGATTTATTAATATAGTGAAATAAAGCTTTTAATTATTAGTAGTCACGTAGTATATAAAGTACGGAGATTTTCGTAATAAAAATATATTTATAATTAAAATAGTTATATAATGTTCTAGTTTATATAAGAAAGCATAAGTTAAATATGAATTATATTCTAAAACATTATAATGTAAGAGTTCTAAAACCTCCTCATCGTATAGATTTCGATTTCCCCTCTAAAACTATTAATTTTTCAACTTTTAAACCCTATATTTATTTACTAAATATTTATATAAAATAATGAAAAAAATACTTATCATCGATTTATAATTACTTTAATTAAGTATAAAAAAAGCCCGATTATTTTTAAATATCTTCTTTATAAAGTTATAAACTATTAAACATAAAAGTCATAAATTTTTTAAAAGATTTACTTATTTTATATGAGAAAAGCGTTACAAGTTAGAAATTTTTAAGTTCTTTAATTTCAAAACGATATAACTTATAAACAAAAATAATAAGAAATAAATCATATAATTCTTTCGATAAGAAATAGTATTAATTGCTCAATTTGAAATTTCGGAAATAAAATTCGTTACATTGAAAAGGTTAGTGATTTTTTAATCTGTATAGGAAAACGTCATGAGGTGCGGTAAGTAGGTTCCAGAACTCTCACGATAACTAAGTCTCAATCTCTTATAATTCATCGATTTTATCTATCTCTTTCTCTTATAAATTATAGGCAATGAAAATAAAACGCAACATTTAACTCATGACTTGATCTCTTCTTTTCTTCAAAATTTAGATCATAAATCTTACACCCCTTGCCTTTTTTTCCCTTTCCTTTCTTCCGGTTGCACCGCCTCCCCCTCCTCTCCCTTTTGCCCCTTTTGCCCCTTCATCTCTCAACACACCATTAACACTGTATTTCCGTTTAATTCGTACTTCTCGCTCTATTTCCTCGGAAGTAGAATCGGAAGTTGAAGTGGAAGTGGAAGCGGAAGTGCTAGATGATGTGTCCCTGCGTTTGTAATTCCCTCTACTCCTACTCCGATCCCTTCCCCGATCATCGCGAGAAATATGAGACACATGAGGGATGTAATACATCGTTCTCCTTTTACTCGTACTCGTACTAATATCTTCCTTACTATCCCTGTGCATGTTTCTCGACCTCGACAGTGACCGCTTCGATATATATCGAGTTTTCTCTCTACCCTCCCCAGTTCCTCTTTCTCTTGATCTAGATTTGGATCTGGATCTTGCTAGACTCCGAATGCGAGTTATACTTCTTCCCCTGCGCCCAGTATCTCTATCCGATTCTAGATTGTTATCTTGATCTCGATGCCGATTTCGATTTCGATTTTGATGTCGATCAAGATCAAGATTGATATATTCAACCACTTTTTCTATTTCTGGTTCTCTTCCTCTTCCTCTTCCTCTCCGTCTTTCTCGTTCTCTCTCTCCATCTCTCGGTCTGGAAACTGCATCCCCTATAGGAACAGAAACGGGAGAAATATACTTGTATTCCAATACTCTCTCACTTTTTCTGTCCCTTTCTCTCTTACAACTTCTCTCACGACTTCTCCTTCCCCAAATTCTTACATCCCTTTCCCCTCTTCGACATTCACACTCATTCCCATCCCCATCTCTACACCCATCTCTACACCTACACCTACACCTAACAAACCCCTCATAATAAGGCGTGGGTGTGCGATTTCTTATATCTTTTCCTCTACTACAGCTTCGAACTCTACATCTACTCCTCCTCCTTCCTCTCTGTTCCTCCTCAATATCTTGTTCGCTATCGAATCTTCGATCTTCAGATTTCTGGGTAGAAAATGAGATGTTGACTTTTGTTTTGCTGGGGTGTTGGGGATTGAGATTGTGATTAGAATTGATGTTTCTATTTTCGAGGTTGTTGATGTTTTTGATATGGACTCGGGTTGTGCGGGTTGTGGGGGATGATGGTGGAGAGATACTATGATACCCTACCGGATAAGAAGTAGGATATAGCGCTGACGTATATCTATATTCGTATTGAGTGTTTGAAGCTCCTAGACCTGGAGTTCTCGGACTCGAAGCCCTGGGACTGGGAGTGATATACGAAATCGATGTTTTTGTTTCTCTTTTTGATTCTTGAGTATCCGCTTGACCATCCTCATCCCTACCTCCGACCCCATATCCTTGACCATCCCCTCGGCCATACTCTCGAACATAACTAGATCTAGATCCACTTCGTAAAATCGATATTGAGCGATTCCTTCTGAGACGTGGTGATGGTGATGGAGAAGGAGAAGAGCTAGAAGTATAACGTTCCTCTCCCTCCTCCTTTCCTCTTCCTCTCTCCTCTTTCCCACCAACCCTCGCACTCACATATCCAGGGCGCTGAGAAGTAGTATCGATATATGTGTATTTATATCTAATTGGAGAAAGAGATGTTAATGTTGATGAGGATGTAAAGTAGTGTCGATCCGAGTCTCGCAATGGAGAGGGAGAGTAACATCGACGTGTTGAGCGGGTTTTGGTTGTACGGGACATGGATTGATTGGTTGGTTGGTTGGTCGTGAGGGAATTTTGAGAGTTATGGGGTGGGAGTTGAGGATTGATTGAGAGATATGGGGTGTTTGATTTGAGGTTTTGTAGGTTTGAAGATTTTAATCTTGAGCTTATGACTTGAGCTTGAGACTTGGATATGTACTCGAGTAACTTGCCCTTCCGAATCACAAAACACAAAACTAACCTCCTTCAATTTCCAATCTTTCACGAAATCAGAAAATAAGAGAAGAGGAAAGAGTCAAAAATGCAATTATAAATTTACTCACTACAGAGTAAGATAAATCAGAGATAAAACAGAGATCGAAGGGAGAGGAAAGAATAGCAGCAGCAGAAGAAGAAGAAGAAGAAGAAGGAGAATTAGTGATACTTCCGAAGGCTTAGTCAATGAAATAGGTCGATGAAATACTCAATGGTTCGATTAGAGGGAGTGAATGATCTCGGATGGGAAAGGGGGGTGAGGTGAAAGGGGTATTTGATGGTGGTATGTGTGATTAAGGGGGTAGGTATTGGGTTTTTGGGTAGTGTGCGTTTGTGTATGTATTTTTCTATATATTTATATACGAAATGAAAAATATTTAACAAAAACAATATAACAACAAAAGAAGAGAAATATCCCAATACCATGCTAAATGAAAATATATCTCGTGGCTATAAACTCCTCCAATTAAGTATCTTAACATGATCCATATGCATCAGAACACGACGCGATAAATCTTCAGCAGCTCCCTCGCTATGCCATTCCATCCTTGACTTTTCTGTAAATCCTCAATCGCAAATCGCAAATGTGATTGCAAAGATTGCATATCTCCATCCCCATAACATCATCTCCTCAAATTTTTCATGATTCCTCAATCGCAAATCGCAAATCGCTAGTTCCAAATCCCCATCTCCATTCCCCATCTAAACATTAACCCTCTTCAACTTAACCCACAACTCCGGTTTCTTCCACAACATATAAATTCTATTCCTCTCCAACCACGTCTCACTATCCCTCGCCCCCTCCAAATCAAATCCCCACACCGCATTCCCCAGCAAGACTCTCATTTCGGCATATGCCAAATTCTTCCCAATACAATTAGCGGGTCCCACACTAAATGGTTGACGAGCCTTCCTATCATCTCCCTTAAAGATTTTCGGATCAGTGAGTTTCATATCTGGGAACGCCGATTTCAAATCCTCGATATCAGCGGTACTGAGCCATCTCTCAGGATGGAATTCATATGGGAGATGGAAATTTTTGGCGGAGAGTTGGGAGCTGATGAAATTCACACCGACATTTGCGCCGGCAGGAACGTAATGGCCGGCGACGAGACTTCCACCATTGGGGACGATACGGTAGAGAGTAGTTGGAACGGGAGGATACATGCGGAGGCCTTCTTCGAGGACGGCGTTGAGGTATTTACAGGCAGCGAGAGCGTGCAGAGTGAGATCTTTTTGGGTTTGAAAGGTAGTTCTTAATTCGATAGTGAGGTTTTGGAGAACGGTGGGGGTTCTGAGGAGAAAGTATGTTAGGCCGTTGAGAAGGGTTGCGGTCTTAGTCGTGTTAGTGAATTCCTCAAAGATCAATGAGATGGAGGGGTGAAATACCGTTTCACTACCAGCGATGATTAGTATGCTTGCATTTCCTCCGATTTCCTCACGAGTCATTCCTTTATTCGTATCGTTATGCTTAATGATATAGCTCATGAAATCGGGTACATCTCTCGGCGTATCCAGTCGTCGAAATGCTTTTTCCCTTGCGAGTTGGCTATGGTGTGCAAATATGTTTATTTTATCTTTCGGAACAAACAAAAGCGCAATAGCCCCAAGAATTGGGTATTTCCTTGCTTCTTTGGCAAAATTGTTGATTTCAAAGATTTGAAAGATTAAGTCAATCCAAGTATTTGTTTCTCCAGTCTTGACACAATCAAAAGGTTCTCCGAATGCAAGGTCACCGATCAAATCGAAGGTAGCAAAGTTATACCATTGACCGATATTAATGCTCTTATCTGAAGCGAGAGAGGAAAACTTGACGAGTCCAGAGATAAATTGTCGAGCATAATCTTGGATAAGAGGCTCCTGAGATGTGAGGGCTTTGTCGGAGAATATGTGTGATTGAAGACGGCGAAATCTTCGATGATTTTCTTCGTCTGCTGTTAGTCTTTCAATCACAAACATTAGCTCCTACAAATCTAGTGCGTCGAAATGATGACTTACATATTTTTGACTTGATCTTTCTCAAAATTTCGTTCCGTTAAATTCTTTGGAAAATTCTTTTGGTGATTCTCTTTCAAAAAACCGTAAATATCTTCCCAGGCAACAGATGAATTGTAGTCTAAATAGTTGGGAGCAACTCTAACGGCATCACCATATTGATCATGAAGTTCTTTAAGCTTGTACGGAAGAAACCCCTTGAATGTCCAATATGTCAGGGGAATTCTGGAAGCCGCCCATAGTTTTGGCCCTGGGAAGGATTTCAAAGGGTGAAAGAATAGGTTATAGATGCAGCAACCGAGAAATTGTAATAGGGGTGCTACGACCACTGTGATGACAATAACGATGGAATGCATTTTGTATTGCTCGAGCTAGATTTCCTTGAAATGTGATGTGATAAAACTATTTTATATTTCAAAGTATCACTAACTTATATACACCACTAATTGATATGTCAATTATAGCCCCTGGTTTCAATCCATGATGTGGAGTTTGTTGATTTCGGCAAGTTTCCACCATTTGTAACTCCGCGCCGACTTTGCGTCACATTTTTAAACTCCCGCGTCGCCGATTGGCGAATCAGATAAGAATCAAATGAATTTGTAAAGACGGTTATAATACAACATTCCGTCTCTTGCTGACGGTGCATGGTCATACAAATGCTGATATCTCACCGGCTTCTTTCATATCCAGCAGCGGTTTATGCATTTATTGATGCAATATGCCTCAAGATAATGATGAATAGCCAACTTTGACATTAAAAACACATAATTATGCAAGACTACTGCGTTTCTCCCCCTGAACAATGACCAATGAGACAACAAACCAAAGGTATACACGAAGACCACCTCATCGTACATTTCGGTATTGAAGATTGATCCTACCTACCACATGTTCATCGGAACTTTCATCTTTATCCAATAGTATTGGGATTTCCCCCCGGGACTGGGCGCGCGAAAACAGATCAAGTAAATGCTCTATCAAATACAAGATATTACCTAGTCTCGTATGATTCCCATATATTGTATCCTCAGGGCATAAAACTTTTGCGCCTCATCCAATTGTACAGTATAAGCCTGGTATATGCCATGATATCCTCCCAACGCCGATGCTCGTAAAATATGCAGTTTATCATAGACGTTGCGAATTCCAGTTTTCCCTGATCATAACTCCATATCTTCATCCTCACTATCTTCATCAACTCCACTTCCAGTACCTTCTTGTTCTTTTTCCCTCCTGGAAACTTCCCTGGAAGCTCCTAATTTTCGTATTCCATCCATAACACCTGTAATGAATCCTCGTCCCTCACTAACTTCCATTGCGCCAACACCTTGTAGACTAGTGAGCCCACCTCCTTCTACTGCTAATGTACTGCTTCTCATTTTTGCCATCCTCACTTCCCTTAGGTCTCTAAGTAATTCCCGAACTTTATCTGGATCTTGTATATCATCACTTGCAGCTTCCAGTAAGATTTCACCCATATCAATCCAATGGTATGGTAAATAACCAGGCTCTGAGTCTGCGGTATTCGATGGCAAAAATGGCGGTGATACTGTAGATGATGTGCTATGGTCGAGTGGCGGAGGAGGAGTAAAGCTCTCAGGATTATCAGTCTCCATTTTGAGTATCCTGTCAAGGGAATGAGGATGAAGCCATGGTGGTGGTATGATATTAGCACGGCGTTGTCTTTTGAGAAGGAGAGCTAGCCATAAAGGTAAGGGAGCACGATGCGGTGGTCGTAGAGGAGTTGTCTTGCCCTATAGATACCAGATTGATATAAGCTTCCAGTTTTATTTACTGTTGTTGGAGGGGTAAATGGCGGGGTAGCTTACACCTAATAAATCGAGGCTCTCAAGTCGTTGCCGAGGAACAACAGTGACCATTTCCATTTCGCATAGAAATGCAACCTCCATTGGCGTTAAGCCAGGTGGTAAAGGTAGAGCCATATTGAGTTACTTTAATAGGTTACTCTTTTGACTCCATCGAGTTACAAACATTGCGATCAAAAGCGGACGCGCTTCGAGCTTGAGGTGGTTATTTAGTGCCTCAGGCAGTAAGAACTTTAGTTCAGCTTGAGCCACGAGGACATTATTACTTCAGGAGGTCTTCCTTAGCATGTCCACTTCAACCAGAGGGTCACAGATATAATCCGCAGCATAAATTCACTCTAATACTCTATCTCTACGTTATGTGATCCTTTAAGAAAGACAGTTCTATTGATTTCACAACCTTCAAGCATTTTAAATCACGGAGCAAGGTTGCAGCAAGTGCAGCAAGTGCAGCACAAATTGTCATCGGGTCATGTCTCAAGATGATCGAGATACGGGATCTAGTGGTTCAAAAGAAGGTTCATCTTGTTTGTTATCGCCAGAGTGACTATGCTGTAGCCCTGTCACACGTTAGGTTAAAGCTGAACCTTTTGTTGTGCGGTACTACGTGGTGCGTGTAGGAATTTCCAAACCACTTTCGTCGCTACGATATTGATGGCTCCACGATTGTACTAGTATCTCATGTAGGACCTTCTTCATTTTCGTGGCAACCAGAAACCTGATCCACTTCTTGTTGTGGGAATTTCTCTCACGACACTCGCCCCATTTGGACGAGTTCATCTGTATCATGTCGTCCCAGCGACTTGTTACGTCTATCGATAGACATTTGATATCTCTGTCACGTTGTATCCGAGAGCTTCCGCGAAAAATTCAAAGAGCATCTCAAAAATTCAGAGCTCTCTTCTATATGCCCGTGTCCACAAAGAAGCTTCTCTTTCTAATGTGTTTGCTCTTCACAATAACCATCGAGTAGCGTTAGATTCGCGAGTCTATGAACGTTCATTAGTCTTCCATATAAGTTGTTTATATAGTCAGTCTCAAAGACTCAATGGATATTCAAGACGAGGGTGCAATACTTGCAGCTTATAAGGTCATGTCGAACGATAGACAATCTGCCCGCATACTATTCACGATGTTTACGTCATGATTCCATCTTTCTACAGTGATGGGCACATGCGCTCTATTGCGTTGCATGTTGCTATGTTGTATAACTTATTTTAAATCTCATTTCAATGTGGTTGGTTGGTTGAGATCGCATTTGTTCACTCAGTGCGCCCCCACGGTGTCACTCCATGCCATATCAGAATTCTACTAATACTCCATCTAAACCCTATCATACCGGAGATCTCAATTCATAGCTAAAATTTAAGTTTTGAGCCATTGTGCAATTTGTCGACTGCCCTTCATAGAATAAGTTCAGGCGTCCTTGCCGGACTACAATTTTACGATGAGGAAGAAAGAATTTCAGAAGAACACAATATAATGGGCTCTAGAGTGCCTGATGGAGTTCAAATTTATGAGGAAGAGAAGATGTCTGAGTCCCATTCTGGTGGCTCTATAGCTGCTACAGGCTTTGATGATGCTGCTACGAAAAAGTTGATCCGGAAGCTTGATATACGTCTCATCCCAATTCTTGCTGCTATATATCTGTATAAGGATTCATCGATTTGTCTATAATTACGAATTACTGACACTGGGTAGAGTATGCTATCTCGATCGTGCTAATGTTGGCAATGCACGACTCGAAGGACTGGAAAAAGACCTTCACATGACCGGCCTGGATTACAACATCGCTTTGTCTGTATTTTTCCCCTTTTACATCGCAGTCGGAGTTCCTAGCAACATGATAATCAAGAAAGTCCGTCCAAATGTATGGTTGTCGGGAATCGTGTTATTTTGGTCAATTGTGATGGTATGCACGGGCTTGGTGCACGACTTTGCAGGCTTTCTGGTTGCCAGATGTTTTTTGGGCGTCGCAGAAGGTGGCTTGTATCCAGGTGTAGTTTACTATATCACTATGTGGTATCCTCGAAATGAGTGTGGTTTTCACATAGCATTATTTTATTCTATGGCGACAGCAGCAGGAGCATTTGGTGGTTTATTCGCCTGTGGAATTTCTGAAATGTCTGGATTAGGTGGTAAAGATGGATGGTCATGGATATTTATCATTGAAGGGCTTCTTACCTTTTGTGTTGGGTGCATATCATACTGGGCCATCGGAGATTACCCAAATAAGTATGACACAAGCTCCCATGTCATCTTCCATATATGTTGTTGTGTGTGAAACTTACGTGAATTTAGTGCGAAATTCCTCTCGGAAACGGAACGGAAAGAGGTCACGAGACGGCTTGCGATTGATCGAAACCTCCTTTCCGATGACTGGCTCTCGAAACACGTGCGGCAAGCATTAAAAGACTGGAAAATATATGTCAACATGGTGTTGGGCTTTTGTTTGTCCACGCCTATATACTCATTGTCTTTGTTCTTACCCACAATTGTGAAAGATATGGGATACACCAATAATACTGCACAACTTATGACGGTTCCACCTTACATTGTCGCATGTTTCTTCACGATCTCTGCTAGCTTTTTTGCCGATAAAATGAAACAGAGAGGTTTGTTTATTCTAGGGTTCTTGGCTGTGGCAATAACTGGATCTGCATTACTCATATCCAGTAATAAAACACCTGTTCAATATACGGGCGCTTTCTTTGCAGCACTTGGTAAGCAAAGCAGCTTGACCAAATCAAATCATGTACTTATGACGATAATTTTGTAGGCGTCTTTCCAACTCTTCCCCTTCTCACCACTTGGGTAGGAAACAATCTAAGTGGGAGTCTAAAGAGAGGAGTCGGTTTCGGTATGGTCGTTGGTTTTGCCAACTTCGGGGGTATCGTAGCAGCTTTCATCTATCGCTCCGTGGATGGTCCTAGGTAGTATTTTATTCCAATTCAGTGCATCAATTCCATTGGCACTTTCTCAGTTCTTCGATGATTCATCTTTACTGACTATTAATTTTAGATTCATCGAAGGACATACAATATTCATCAGTCTATTGTCTTTCGCTTTCATTTTGACAGCTCTCATGATGGCCTATTACAAGACAGAGAATGATCGTAGGGATGCTAGAGATGCGGAACGAGGCTTAACTGCGGATACTTATACACCGGAGATGAAACTCCAACAGAAAGATGAGGGAGATGATGCAACGTTTTGGAGATACACTATGTAAATCTGGAAAACGATCTAGACCATAAAGTCCTCGAAGATTACCTCCAAGAAACCCTGTTGCTATTTGCATGATATCAAAAGTGCTCTAGCTTACCATTTCAAGGTGTCATGTCTCGTTCTTCTCAGTGTATGAACACATTCATGAGCCAATCTGGATACTATATGCAGATCTAGCTGAGTAATAACGTTCATCAAGCCAACCTAGCCAAGAATGCTAAGCGTCTATACTTTCAAAGTCTGATCCCAATTGGATGACATATTCGCGCATATTCTTCTTCGACGTCTCTAATAAATTTCCAGCTGCCAGTACTCCACTTCATCGACTCTGTTTATATACCATTACCACAAACAAGCACTGAATCTTGTAATAATGATCTTGGTGACTACTGACTCGAATGCACAGACTGGACTTGAGCAACATTGAATTAACCTTATCTGATTCTCAAGGTCGACTGTCCCCATATTTGAGTGGGATAATACAGGACTAATGGTTAGCACCATACAATGCCTACAAGCGCGTTACTTCGGAGAGAAATGCAGTCATGAAGATCATACTACCATATATACAAAACTAATTTATTTACATCTGACGACCAATCGAAGACCTTCAGTGACAGTCTTCCTGGCCCATAAATCAATCTACAATTTAGGCTTGGGCACCATACCCCTCTCTTTAACAATTCTGGCTCCTTCATTTCTCAACTCGAACTTCTTAACCTTTCCACTACCCGTCTTTGGGGTTTCCATCTTCAATCCTTCCTCTCCAAACCAAAATACATGATGAGGAGCCTTGTGCCATCCCAACTCTTTTCTTGTCCATTCTCGTATCTCTGCATCTGATAACTTCTTTTTGACTGCTGCCGAATCTTCTTCCATATCTAGGAATGCACCAACAACTTCTCCATATTTGGGGTCTGGAATTCCAACGACAATAGCTCGGGAGATGGCAGGATGGGCGTCGAGACGAGTTTCAATTTCGAGGGGATAGATATTCTCACCACCTGGTTGATGGTTAGTTTCATCAAAAATAAAGTGTACGATGGGAGGATAACTGACCTCGGATGATAATATCCTTAAAACGTCCCGTGATGGAGCAATATCCTCTCTCGTCGAACGAAGCTTCATCTCCTGTTTTCAACCACAAAATTCCCTCTTCATCTCTAACCATTACTTCTGCCGTCTTCTCCTCATTGTTCCAATATCCTTTTTGTAGCGAATACCCGGAAATGCAAAGCTCTCCTCTTGCGCCTTGTGGGACGATATTTCCATCTCGGTCGATAATTTTGGCTCGAAGATGTGGAAGGATTTGTCCAACGGTCGCTAGACGAGTGTCAATGGTATCATAGGTATAGGCATTGAAGCAAGTGGGTGAAGTTTCCGTTAATCCTATAAACTCTGTCAGTCATATGTACTTTCATAATGATGGTTCTAACCTACCGTAACTAGATGTGTATTCTCTCATATTAAGTTCTGTCAACAATCTCTTCATTAAAGGTCTTGGTACTGGGGCACCAGCTATTATTCCTGTTCTCAGATTTTCACAGTTAAAGCCTTCTGGTCGCGGCAGACTCAAAATCTCCTCGAACATGGTTGGGACTCCATGGAGTGCAGTGCACTTCTCATCTGATACCGCCCGCAGTACCGCAGAAGCATCGAACGTTTCCGCTGGGAGAATGATTTTTGCACCGTGTGTGATAACTGCCAAAACACCAAGTACGAGACCAAAGCAGTGAAAGAGCGGTGGTGGACAGCACAAGATATCTTGAGGTGTGAACGTCAATCGGTCTCCAATTGAGTTGGCATTGTTGACTAAATTGCTGTCGAAAACTGTCAGGGTATTTTCCTCGAATCTGGATAAAAGTATGCTTACAAGTGTGTAAGCATTGCTGCTTTTGGACTTCCAGTCGATCCGCTTGTGAATTGCAAGTTTACGATATCGTCTGGCTTCACCATGCTTTTTACTCTCTCAAATTCTGCCATTGAACTTGCCCGACCTTGACGCTTCAGTCCATCGTAGTTCATGAATCCATCTCGAGCGCCCCTCAACATCACCACCTTATCTAAGAATCCAGAAGTGCCATTATGCTTTGGCAATGGCCCTAAATCGGAGATAAGTTTCTCGGGACTCTGTTTACCGATCTTTGGTACTGTAAACAAGACTCGACAACCTAACATTCGTTAGTGGCAATACTTAGAAATCTGAAAAGCCGCCTTACCAGCATGCTTCAGCCCGTTTTTGGCCTCTTGAGTTGTGTATGTATTATTTAACACCACCAATATACATCCCATATAAGCCGCGGCGAAGAACACCGAAATATATTCCGCACAATTGCCAGCCAATATTCCAATTCTATCGCCCGATTTTATACCCAAAGATAACAATCCACGGGCCACGGCAACACTCTCTTCCTGTAACGTCCCATAGGTCCATCTCGTTCCCAGTGAAGGGCAGACTAAACATTCATTTCCAGCACGAAATCTTGTTTGTTGATCAAGCAAATCTCCTAGAGTAAGTGCTAACAGCGGAGGACTCGACGCTCCCTGAACAATCGACAAGCGAGGAGTCTCATTCTCAACTTCGTAGAGAGATTGCATGGTGAAAAAGAAGCGGAAAATCTATTGATTGGATTGCAAGTACAAAGGACACACGAAGGACAGATCGAAAAGATCAGATAAGATAATAAAACCAAGGCGCATACAGGAACCAGACAGCCGCCAAATGCCTAGGTTGCTCCACGGGACAGAACATACCGTATGAGTCGTGCATTGGCATGACTAAAACTTCGTCGGGGAGAATCTAGATGAGGATTCGGAGTTCCGTAAGAAGCGGAACCATTGATCGTTGTGCAGTTTTGCTGGAGTGGACGAAATTTCCACATGTCAAATGGATATGTATTTCGTGACGTAGCGAGGCAGAAATCCACTGTATCCCTATCTAATTCAGACTAGGGTTCAACATGAGAATTAGATGGGTATGGAGTACAGTTATCTTTGAGCCGAGCATCTTCTTGATATGGGAGCATGCAATCGTGAGTCATATAGCAACCATTTACTCCGAGGGAATCTTTCATGCGTCGGGAGCATGTGTCCAAGTCGGACTTTTCGAATGAAAAGCACTCAAAACCCATCACATCACCCACGAAGAAAAAACCTTTTCCACCTCAAACTTGGCTCCATTGAAAAGATGTCAGATCGTCACTCATGCAGTAATAAAAACTAGCCAGTGGGACCCAAAATTCCCCCCATATGAACCCCGAAATATGCCCCAATCCTACTCTATCATTCGTTCAATTAAGTCCTCAAAACAAAAACCCCACCAGATCCCCATCGACTCCGTTATCTAAGCCCAAAGCGGCAGCTCAAATTCACCATCTGTATTCAAAGTCTGCATATGATATCCCGGACGTGAAAATTTTCATCTGATTAGATCGATTGATAAGATTAAGCGTTGCGAAGCAATCCACTTTATTTGCGCTAGTCGGTTTTTGCCGGGAATATACCATGACAATAATTTTATCAGATTGAAAATTCCGGATTCGGAGGAGAGATTAAGAAATTGACAGGTGTTGACTTAGTGAGTGGGGATCTACTATGAAAGGTGGGCATGGTTGCCCCTGATATTAGCCGGGGCGTCCTGCAAAATGATGTGGAGACTGGTTTTTTGAGAGTTGTGTTGTGTGAGGTGCTGAGATGTTGAGAGTACATTCAGCCTGAGAAGATTTGAGAAGGCCTGATGACTCTTGAAAGCTGTCAAGCTTCTCGGCTTTGGCACTTGGTTTTGATGCAAATTTACTATGTCGTGTGAGATTGATGTAGCTTTTCTTCTTTGGCTTCAAGCAAAATGTGGTAGAGATGTCGCGTTTTGGTACAGCTATGTTGTGAAGGGTTTTGTATAGCATTATGATAAACCGGGACTCTGAAAATTTACCAACCAACAAGATGAAATGATGTTGGGATATCTCAAAGTAACAGTAGTGCATTGAGAAATAGTTCAGGGCGTGCTTTGAGTGCTACATGTGTGAGGCATGAAGCCTTTCGAATTCCTTATACTTGATCAGTTCTATCCACAACATCTCTTCTCGGGTCCCAGAATACCTATGTACTGTTCTCTCCGAGCAAGGCTTTTCTTACGCATAGTCTTCATTTCTCTGTTGTTTTCATTAATTCCTTTTGTGTCGCAATCTAATCTCTTTTAATCAGGCGTTGGGTTTTCTTCTAAAGCTAGTGTCTTGCCGGTATTTCCCCAAAAACAGCTGGAGCAATTGCTGGATAAATTTCCAAATATCTAAATAAGATCAAGAAATGTTTACCGAATGTCAAATATTCTACACTCCCTTTAAATCGGCAAAGAACCCAAAATCTCTCATTGGGACCTTCTCCGAGATCATCCTCAGTTTTTATATCACACAACAAGCGTTGCATATATATATATATGTATGATACTAATCCACAAATGCCGCTGTCCTGATACACGTCCCACGCATTCGCATTGATTTAGCTTGCGTATTCACCCCCGCATGATGTAGGGAGAGATTATTTCCTTCTGTTTTACTTGTCTTGATGACTCAGGTTCTGTTCAACATTCGCCGATCTCATGTACATGAGGTATTGTGTGCAAGGGTTATGAAATTTGTGCAGAGACACATGCAAGGTTTGAAATGGGATCTGGTCGAAGAGGAGGAGAAATTCAGATGCTATTGGTCCCTGAATTCAAATACAAAGAGCGGCAATAATGAAAACGACTAGAATTATGCGCAATTCGGTTTGAATATCAATGAGCCGTAGCCAAAAGAGCGTGGCTAGGTGTCTCTTCAATAGCTGTGTAGAGTAGTAAGTTAGACCAAAATTACATTCTGAAGCTTGTCCGAATTCCATTCTTCTCCATCTATTATTCTATGCACATAGCAGTCTCCAATTATTTCATATTCCCCCGTACCTTCCATACGATGTAATATATACGGTACTTTGCCGCCCTCGAGTAGGAACAACTGATCGCCAATCTACGCGACCATCGGTACAAGACCTATCTAGCTGGGCTCTATGGCTATGAAGAATCTTCTCATATGAGTAGCAAAGTAAACTAAAGTATGGAAGCGGATGATAATTGAGTTTGCGTTTTCAGCGTTCAGCAACTGCTTCCCTGCGAGACGAGAAGTACCTTCGATTTCCGATTCCCACCATGAGTGGTAGTTTTTGCACGCTTGCGAATCATTCGAAACTCTTTCATAATAATACACGCTTGCTGAATTATTGCTTTCGGATTGATCAGAGGCCATCGACATGCAGATAGTTTGAGAAAAAGCATCTGAGTAGGTTGTAATTCGCTGGGACCTCGGATATGGCTGGTCGAATTGCGTCTCACTCTGCGCCAATTTCCTCCACGCTCTATATGTTGCTGCCATCTCCTCGTCATGGTCAACCTCAAAATCGTTTGCTTTACCGAGAACCTGAAGAGAGATCAAAAATACCGCGTGGTGTGATTTCTAATCTTCGCCCTTCTTTCACTATATTAGCAGAACTTCTGCCGGAGGCTGAAAATTGAGGCAACAGTCTGTAACGCTCGCTTATAGTATCCACCAAAAAATGAGAGGGTCTTTCTGCTGTCCACTCCCGGATCCAAGAAGATCCTTTGCCAGCAAAAACTCCCGTGCAATGCCACTTTCTTGGTCACAACTGTCTGATGATATCGAGATTCCGCGCCTCATTGATTATATTCACTACTCTGCTCGCATACAATAGGGCAATATCAATGCTATAGTCTGGGTTGATGAAACCAGCTTCTTCACTCCCAAGAATACCTAGTAGACCGTATATCTTGTCTCGCGGATCTGAGCAACGCCGATCCCCAAAAATATTGAGAAGTCTTTCCAGACAACCTGACAAATTACCATCTCGATATTCACGAATGAATTTCATCTTCATAAATGACGTTGTGATGAACCCACTTTTGCGTGGATTACAACCGTCCTTAGAGTGTACAAGTTGACTACTGAAAATAGCCAACAGGTCATTTTGCAATATGCTCCTCCGTCCTGATATCTAGAGGGTATCTTTCCCTAAAAGAGCTTCTTGGACAGTCCACATGCGGTTCCACTCAGGGTTCTCAAAAAGCCGGATGATCCCGGCGTCTGTACGCAAGTTTTGAGTTGAAAATGAGGCAACGTTATCGTTGTCACTCTCCCAATGGGCATCTAGATCTTTTAGAATCATATGGAATTGATCGAAAGCCAAGTCAATGTCTCTCTCCTCGTCAATATCATTTCCTTCCGGTACCAATTTCTCCATCCATCCAGCCGTGAAACTCGAAGTCGAGCATTTGATGAGTTTGAGTAAATTGTGCGCATGTATTTAGCCTATGAGTCACGTTCGGGTATATCTTCTTGGTTGATACAGATTGCGTCGATCCACAAAACTCTTGGTAGATCGCGATACCTCAGATATCGAAGTGCCGACTCTAAATTGGTGGTTACTGGAAAGGAAACGCGTTGGAGAGTACTGTCGCGTTTGTTTGTAGGGTTTCCCCAAACATATGAGAGAATCTCGTAAACTGGCTCATCTGACAAAGAGACCGTCGTCAATGTGCAATGAATATCCCTTGAGAAGTCTCCAGGTAGCAGAGTGACAAGTCTCACTCTTTTTTTGGAGACGTCAAGAATGTGATATAGCTGCGTTCCTTCCATCATGACGGGAGCCTTTAGGTGTCAAAAACGGGCCTTTGGATAAAAATACATATCTTTTCCTTAAGGGAGGACCTTTATTTAAGGGCAATCTATCTCTAGGTGTGGTAGCAGATGACTTACGATGACGAAAAATGTTGTGATACCACATTCACAATGTAGTACAACCATCAGCTTCTCGGGTAGCGTCTGGGCATCTGTCACGCTCAACCAATAAAGCACAGGCTAATTTGCCTTCTGGTTATTTTTGCATCTTGGCCACGACGGCCCGTTATACTCAGCAGGGGCTTGTCGGAAGCAGTTCTATCCGAGAAAAAAATATATTGCAAAGTAAGCAGAAAATTAGAAACTGTGATAATCATTGTGAGCCAAATCAGGGATCATCGTTCCTACGCGTCTATAACCGCCGCATTCAAGCATAACCTTTGCTAGATAGTTACAATTCTTATGACCTCCTTGAATGATGGGACTTTGCTCTTAGTAAAATTTGAGTACATTTCGAGTGCTGGTCGCAGTAAGACAAGACAAGAATGGTATTTTGGAATGAATATAAAGCTACTTTGATCCATATATAAACCGAATAATCACATTCTCTAGTTGTCAATTTACGAAGGTGATCTAGAGGGAAGATAAATACAGAAAAGACAAATTGCTAGAAGCTCCCTTGATTGAAGGAGTTGATAACCTATATAAGTGACTAAGATATCCATTATAACTTTGACTTTGAGGTTCCCAGATGGTCATTGAATTTGAGTGTGGTTCAACAGCCCATTCACAGACTCCTACTACAAATATTCTAGCATCTATTATTATTCGATACTTTCTTACATTGATGTTCGATGAAACTTCTTTTTTGCATCTCAACTATAGAATCTGTTCTCTACGAATGCAGCACCATTAGTTGGAATTCTCTACCCAGAGTCCCAGTTCAAAGATTTCAAAGAATAACTTCCGTCCATCCATTCACATCTCATATTCAAATACTCCTCCACAACACCTCGCAACTATACCATGTGTGTACAACGCAACACTGTTTACTTAGGATGCGGCGATGCTACATTTCGTATCTATGGCTGCATTGGACAACTACAGCTACGATGTAGTCCTCCAAGTTGCCCTCGATTTCAAATACAGGTGGTAGAGGTTCCTGGAGTTTGTTCTGGCTGTGGTGATAGACGACGTCGTCGCGCCCGTTGTAAAGTTTGTGATTCTGCTTGAGGAACTACAACTATGGGCGATAACAGAATCATGACAGAAATTATGGAGGGGAAATTAGCTGATTTAGCCACTAAGTTTCTGGTAGGGGCGACTCTAGACTGAATGGCTGTGTATTTGCATGTACAGCAATGAATTCAGAAACTGAAATCGCTTTAGGATGATTGCGGCTCTGTCTTCATTTCTCTAGATAGATTCTCCGAGGAAAATCGAAGAAAAAGAGCGACTTTCTCAGATCGTATCATCATATTACGGTGTCATTTTGCATTTCTCCTGTGCATGAAATTTATGAAATGAATGCCAAGTGACAGTGTACATAGCGAGTTATAATTAGTATCCCATCATATAATTTGCATGTTGACATTTCCATTAGTGTTATTGTTCATGTGAATCTTTTCTACTTTTCAAACTAGTTGTTCCAGCGCCAAATACAAAGTACCTAAACTGATTAAATATGTGATGCTCATCTCCATACACATTTACTTGGTATCGTATGAATGAATCGCCAGCCCCATTCTAAACATACCTTCACCACATTACTACTATAATAAAGGCACTTCCACACTGCTCTTTTCATTTTCATTTTCCACTACAAAAATCCTTCTGCGGCCAAAATCTTCACAGCCTCCGAAACCTAGACTTTCAAGTAATCAAAATCAATTAAAAACACAGCAACAATGTGTATATAACAGTGGACAAAATTCCCATGTGGATATACAGCCATTAGCATACAAGGATGTCTTCAGCAGCAGCAGACTAATTGCAATCCTCCTCTTTGTCCGTTCTACCAAGTGACTTTCCTCAATGCTCCCATGGTTTTCAAACCAGTACCCGAGCAACAAAATGAAGGATCAAACCTACAGAACCCACCGTTTTTAGGAACTGATGGTAATAGAATCGAGGGCGGAACTGAGGTACAGCCAGGGACTGACGAGAAGATGGCGAAAGTTGGGTGGATGAGGATGTGATAGACGAGAGTCTTGTGTTTCGAGCCATCATGCAGAGAGTCTTTTGACACTGGTGGCTGAATGCCGTATGTTAAGTTGTCTTCTTCTGCGAGACTTTGAGATAGATAGAATCAAAAACGTTGCATTTCGATCTTTGTAGTTACGTTATGTCAACGTCTGTGTGCTTGCCCTTTTGCAGAATTCTACCTCAATGCTTGAACTACGCACACAAGTGAAATAGACAACCCATTCGTGATTCACTGAAGTTTCTATCAGATGCCAATAATCTTGATTGCTAATCTCAGGATACCGTAGTAGATGAACACTAATTTTCAAAATCAAAATCGGAAACATTCACCTCAATATTTGCAATTTCCCATGCTAAATGAGATACAGCTACCCCCCTCAGCAACATCTATATAAAGGCTGGAATCCATTCCTGCATCATAATCTTCCGTCTCCAAGAAGACGAAAATACAAAATCCATTAAGGTCAAAAAGTCCAAAGCCAAACGTCAACACCTTCAAAGGACGCCCCATCAAGCAAACTTCCCGATCAATCGTCAGCTTTGTCAAGACCGGCACATTCCCTGACAGATAGAGTGTCGACTATCTCAATTCAACCTGCCTCACCATGTGTTCAAGCTTGTTAACATACTTCGCCTGCGGACACGCTGGCATGCGTAACACCGAGAAGTGTCCAAAATTCAGTCAACTCCATCTCAGCCATGTAGCAGCCTGTCCGGGTTATAAGGCATACCAGCAAAATCAGGCCGGAAAGTGTTTGGATACCAAATACAATTGTCGCTGAATGGCTTTTGGTAATGGGTCGTGAGCAGTGTGGATGAAACGTTGTGAAGAATGGGCGAGGTATTGGGTGTAAATGGTGGAGTTGGACAGGATGAAGATTGGAGGTGAAGAGGACAAGGATGCTGATATGATTGATATTCACAAAAAGGGCTGGGACCTGATAATTCTAATGGAGAGACGATGGGACGACGACATCAAGGGGTAGCTATTCATCTTCCGATCACAGAGCAGGAACTCTGCGAACATGGAAGAAGGGTCGAGAGTGAATCAAGATGAACGTATAGCGAATACAAAAACATACCAATCAGGAAGCACTAGCTCATAGACCACAAAGCAAGACTAGAAGTGACTTTAATGACCCCACAATCCCCATTTGTTGAGAATCCACTTCCCCACATCAGATCCATTCAAATCATTGTACTCGAGCACTCTCTTACACACTTGTTCTCCTCACAACCATCCTCGTACACTTGAACTTTGTCTTCTTCAACTAGTCTAGAGGTATGAGGCAAACTAGACTATAATTATCACTTCCCTCTCCCCCGTCTTCCCTCACCCTTCTGGCCACTTGAGAGAAGGTTTTTTAAGGAAAAAGGCCAAGGATTTTTCCTAAGAGATTTTGAAGAAGCATGTGGTCAGCTTCCATCTCCAAAAATATACGAAACCACCAAAAAAACCAAAACAAATGCCTACTACTGGAATCGAACTAATGATCTCAGCATTGCTGTAATGTGTTACATACAAGTGCTACGCGTTACCACTGCGCCAAGCAGGCTAACATAACGGTTTCCATGGCGCAAATTCGACATATAATACTGGTAGACAAGACGATTTTTCGAACTCTCGACAAAGCCACCGAAACAGGAAACTCATGATGGATAACAATCCCGTTCACTACACGACCAGAAACTTCATCGAAATCTCCAGTTTCACACCGCTGAATGCGTGGGCTGGAGGTTTGTGCGGGTTGACAAGCGTACATCGAAGGTGATGGGTCATCATGCGACCTAGTAGCATAGGCTCCCCCGTTGGATCGTAACGGCGCTCCACGAGGTTACTGCAGAGGTACGGAGGCACAGTCCGGCATTGAAAAAAACCGCTTATTTTGAGAATGTTGCCTCGTTAAACTCAGAGGATAATAGACTTATTATGAAGTGGCATCTAGTATGTAAGCCTTCTAGATATCAGAAACGCAGAGATAGTGCCTCAGGATATATTTCTTGTTCAAAGAATTAGCGAATAAATCACAGTTTTCTCCCAACTCCAGAATTTCGACCACATATATACGTTGGTCATCTCACAAACTCCTGTCCATGATTCGAATCAAATCCATCCATCACATCCAGCACAATTGCAATCTCAAATGCATAGTAAACGGCCCTTGGACGAAAAAAGCCGTCGAATAATTTTTGTGTAACTGGCAAAAGTCTCTCGGATCGGGCTCACATTAACCACTGCAAATTATCCCTGATGACAAGTTCTACCTTCCTTCTTTCTTTCTTTCTTTCTTTTGTCTCGAGTCAAAACTCTTGACTCGGCACTTTCACCCCACATAGAAGCAGGGGAGGAACGGAGCGATCCCACCTGCTCCACTTACGGCGGTATTGGGAAGGTGGGGGTTTGATACAGAGACACCCAGCTTCGAGCTTCCCAGCCAAGACCTTATTGCAGGATAAAGCTTTCAAGGGCAAAGCCTGCTCGTCAGTTGTCTGAGCTGCATGCATGGCTTGATATGTGAATCGTTGTCATACATGATGCATCGTGTATCTTTTCCGGATTCATCGAAAATAAATCGGCAGTCTTGTTTTTCTTTTCGAATACGAGACTTGTGCGAAATTGGTGGTTAGATCATAAAGTAAAAGAGAAGAGTAGTGCTAGTTCATGAGGACGTAGACATTTCTAAGTAAAGCTTAGCATCAGTAGTTTCCATACTATGTACATTGATGTTTTCAAAATCTAAAACTTCTACTGGTATTAGCACTAGGAATTGCGCCGAAAGGAATCAAATGAAGTCCCTGAACACCATCCATCTATCATTCAATATCGTAATAATCGAGCCATCCCGAATATCTACAACAATGCTCTAACCATTCTGCTTGCTTGTTGTTTCTCATATTGCGATAGTAACTTCTCGTTTTTTGTTGTGAGTGCCGCGAGATTCTATTGGGGACATGTTAGGCACTATACGCAGAATATCTAGAGAAGAAAGAAGGTGAACTTACAGAGGATGAAGCTTCCGCGCACATGTTTTGCAACGCATCTGTAGCTTGGAGCATGTCTAATTTTTCGCTTTCAATTGCAAAGGTCATAGACTCTTCACTCCCATCCAAAATTCTATCCGTCTTGAACATCTCTCCAGAAACCATAAGATCAATGGCTCTTCCATTTCCTCTTTGCTCGGCTCCCTCTACGCTACCTTCAGAGAACTCAACCCATCCTTCTTCCCGAACAACCTCGAGGCACCATCTAACATATTCAGTCCACTCTTCCGTACTTGGATTCATTTCCCCTTTGGCCATCCATCCGCCCAACATCCCTTCCTCACTTAAATAATTGAGGAATGTATACCGACAAGTTGGATCTAAATTTGTAGCAAAATCTTGCATGAAGATAGCTTCATTTTTCATGCCTCCAAGATCCAACTCAGGAGTTTGACTCAGGAATAAGATCGACAATGGGCTTCGTTTCACCGTCGCGGTAATGGCGAGACTGAGTTGAGCGATGGAAAAGTTTGTCGAGATGATGTCGTATGCGCGCGCGCGGTTTGTGAGATGAGGATGGGGCCGAGGAAGAGATGTTTGAGGGGAATTGTGGCTGGGGGTTTCGAGAGACATTATGCTTTTGTTCTTGTTTCTTATTTTTGGTCTTCTTTTGCACTAATGGTGACTGAGTTGCAGAAGATGTCGGGGAAGATTTTGAGGATTTTGAGGGCAGTGATACTTGAAATGGAGTGGTGGAGGTGGAGAGAAGTATGATGCTAGATGCTAAAACAGAAGAACAAACTCGCATATCAGGAGAGTCGGTCAAGTAGAATTCTAGAACCAAGAAATTAATATTGAAGATTATTTGTCCGATCAATAGCTAGCAAGTTGAAATCATGAAGGCGGTCAAATTATCAATTAGCTTTAGGTGATCTAACAATAAAGTTTGATAAAGCAGGGTACAATTTTTCCGCTGGGAAAGGAAAGGATTAAAGACGAAAACAAGAGTCATGCCATTTCATGTGATATAATGGCAACATCCGCTCGAGATCCCTAACTGTCGAATTGTTAGTTGATGATGCAGTCGCCAGTATCGGGACCGATGCCTATTCCATCATAGTTTTTTCCAGACAGACTAGATCTCAGGTGCTCACTGCGGTGATCATACCATCGTAGTGGCTAAACTGACACTAGCCGGACTACGTCCAATGATTTTCAATCTGATAACCCAACACGCTCCACAATTTTAGGGTTTCAAAACCTTGCAGGAGAATTTCCATCTGATAAACATCCCTGGTTTTTCAGTCCAGTTCCAGCCCTCTACCATTGTTTGTCTTGGTTCGACACTTCCTTTCCACCAAGATGATGCGGTCAGTACGATGAAAAGCTTGGGAGCTCGCCTGAGCTTGATTGAGTTCCATATCCGAGGGTCAGAAAATACATGAGGAATTTTCAATGGTTCTCATCTGATAAGATCTACCTTCTGCTTGCGTAGCAGTGGTTACACCACATCACCCACAGGCAAAATGCATGTTCCTTGTAGTTGCATCTGGCTCTGAAGCCTGCCAATAAGCATTGGACCCGCCATCGGCCCGGTACTGTGGAAAAATCGCGACGTAAAACCAAATAACATAAGCTTCTGTACTTATGGAACTCGACATAAGAGAATGGAAAAATCCAGCAAGCCTCGCGCGCCCAGCTTTTCATAGAAAGCAGCTTGTACCTGAGCTTTCTGTTTCAGGCTCTTGGTGCTTTAGGTTATGTACTAGATAAACAATCAGGTCCTCTTCGTGAGTGCAAATATTCAGTGAAGAGGGTTGAACACCGTTCTTAAGTAGGCTTCGCGTCTCCTCTAGGGGCGAGTAGTATTGCAGCTGTGGTTGTTATGAAATTTGTAGGCCGAGATGGTGTGAAAGTGTTCAAACAATCGACATTTGGAAATGTTCTGAAATAGCCGCGAAATGGCTATCTGATAAGATATGAAGATAAGTCACGTGGTATAGTTTCGGCTCGTTAATCTATCACATTATTATTGCTGTACCCATGCAATCAATAACGAATACATCAATACATTCAGATGTCTTCGTGATGATTGTACAAGAATGAGAGACGAAACTGAGCTGTGTGAACGGGTGAACGAACGCTACGCAAACGCAAACTGTGATGGGCCAAGCAGCAGTGTAGCGCAACAAGATCTAAGTAGTCTCAGGAGCAGCGACCACCATTATTCCATAAATTCGAAGTCTACTAGAATTTTTAGTAGCGCTTAATCGGAGGACGGTATTTTTGTCGGCCAAGGTTCCTCTACAAAATGGCCAAACAACAGCACGAAGCAAAATGAGCCCCGCAGACCTCGTAAAGGTCGCAAAAGTCGAGGCGTGGATGTTACAATTGCAAGAAACGTAGAGTAAAAGTATGGTTCTCGCTCAATAACATAGAATTTGTTAATAATTCCAGTGTCAGGAAACCTTACCTTCTTGTCAAAATTGTGCACGAAATCAACTGTCTTGCAGCTACCCTACGCTTCCAACTCTAATATCACCCCTAGAGCCTCGCCAAATTTCTAATCCTAGCCCGAATCTGTACGGAAATTTGCAAGCTACTCCAACGACATTCTCTTCAGATGGCATGTTCATTTTTCATCATTTTCTGATGCATGCTCACCCCTATTTGCCTGTAGGGAGTAAGGAAAAGGGGGTTTGTCATCTGCCTAAAATTCCCAATTATTTCACCCAAAATGCTAAAAAAAAATTATTGAATCTCATCAAAGATCTATGTCAGAGGAGTAAAATTGATATGAAATTCTTTGGAATGCTTTTAGCCGTCGTCGAACAATGGGAAACCTCTTCTCTATCCGGTAGTCTTTTCTCCACTATACCTTCTCCTTGTTACCTATTACATAGCAGCCTATAACCGTCTAACACTTCAATAGCGTATTTTAAATTTGTTCAAATCTACCTCGCGATCAGTAAGATGAGTAATTGTATCTTCTACGCTTTTATAGATGAAACAAACAAAGTGGCGAGGGTATTGATTGCTCATTTTCTAGCAGTGCAGAAGATCATGGGGCCTATTCTTTGTCGTGAAGCTGAATTTAGTAATCCTGGGGGCTTGAACGAGGGTCTTAGAGTGGGAAGTGAGATTAGAAGCCATAAAAAATGGGTGGAGGGAATTTGGAGTCAGTCGACCAGGGACGGTGAAGAGGAATGGAAGAAGTCGATGCTGACAAGCAGAGAAATCAAGATTGAAGTAAAAAAAAATCGGTGAATGAATGCATTCGTGGATTGAAAGATTTGAAAGATTTCATCTTTTATGCTTAGCAGCAAATAGCTACTCAAATGTTGTTAGATATAAAAGGTTTATATCTAGAGCATTAGGGGCGAGCCTTCTTTATTTTTACCTAGATGTTAAGACTCAACTCATATCATAGGGGCAATATGTCAGGTGTTTAGACTACAAATCTGTTCATGCCTTCTTAAAGATTATTGATCAAGTTGATATCAAATAAAATTATCGTAGAAGACCACTATGAGTACTCATAACGTATGCTACCCCGCTCTCACAAACACGAGACAAGAACCCCTGAGTCTCGCTAATCCTGCCGTAACAAAATCCAAAGCAACGATGAATGACAATTACTTCAGTTTTTCGTCCCTTCAAGCTATCGGTAAACTCCATTTGACCACCTCCGCAACTCACCAGTTTTATCAATTCACCAGTTAGCCTTACTCACATGACTTCTCATCTCCGGGGTTTCCAAACAGGTAAAGGTTGCAACAATGGAATCTCCGAGGTCCGTGTGACTTGTTCAAAGATTACTTACTTTGTCCCAGATCAATTTTGATTCTAAATAATTCGAGAAACAATCAACTGGTATGTCACCAATTTCATTGATTCATCAACCCTTCACAATCGTTTATCTGAATTGGTTGTGCTTTTATGCTGATCTGATTTTGTACAGTACCAAATGCACGCGTCTTATTGTAAAATACAATGGATGAAAACAATCAAAATCCGTACTACCCTATCACCGACCGCCAGCGCTATCCTGCTTTGTCTCCTGAGAATGGAGATGTTCATGCTCGTCCCAACCAAAATGTTGATCTCCAATTTCAACACCAACAGCTTCAAATGCAACATGAAGAGCTTCAGACTCAATACAACCAACTTCAAATGCAGCACAATGATCTTCAAACCAAGCACAATGGACTTCAATCAAATTATAACCGACTTAAATTCCATGTCCGCCGTGACCCACTTGCTTTCCAACGTGTAATCCACGCTTGGAAGCAAGATCACGATTCCAGTCTGGTTGAGCATGATGATGAGTATGAAGCGCCTGTTGCAAATGCTGCGCCTGTTGCTGATCGTCGCTACATTACAAGAAGCATTCAGAAGACTGAACCTGTTGTCAAGGGAGAACGTAAGACTGAACCCGTTGTCAAAAAAGAATATCAAGTTGCATCCATTATCAAGGAAGAACCCAAAGCTGCACCCTTTGTGAAGCAAGAACGTAAGATTTCGATTCAATCCACCATTTGATTTCCTTTACTAATTATATATAGCTGTCGAAGATGAGCACTTCCGTCCTACACCTGATCGTGAATACGCTCCCAGCTCAGCAGGCTCCTCCGATGAAGATAGTAAGATTATATTATACGTGACAATGCAAATCTTGACTAATGATTTTCTATAGTGGAGGATCGAGATTACGAACCTACTCCGGCACCAGTTGCTCCAGCTACCTTTGCACGTCTAGTTACACGTCCAGCTACCATTGCACCTCCAGTTCCACGACCAGTTGCACCTCCAATTCCACGTCCGGTCACACGTCTAGTTGCACGTTCAGTTGCACGACCACTTGCACGTCCAGCTACCGCTGCGCCTCCAGCTACAGTAGCACCTCACGAGCTTAGATTTACCATGAAGAAGGATCGTGAAGCAAATATGTCGATCTACCATCGCAAGGAGTTTGCATATTGCGAAATCGCCATGACAGAAGAAGAGTATTGCCATGTTAAAAGACAAACTTATGTTGCTCCACAAACTCTTTCTACGCCAGACAATAATGGTAAAACTGAGGGTCGCCGGCGCCTTCGAATCACCTGGGTTGAGAGGGATCGACTTAATGCGTAAGTCTCATCCCATATGTAGTTCAATTACTTATAATCTAAGCTAACACATGAAAGTTGGCGTGTGAGACATGGACGCAAACCACATGAAATCTGCGAAGGTACCAAGTATGCTGCTGCCAGAGATTTTTGGAGATTTAACCCCCCTCTCGCCGTCGAGCCACGTAGGACCGTCGAGTGGAACATGGGAAGAGGAGACCTTCCTGCCATTTGAAATTTCTTCACTGTCTGGTATGGGAGTTCGGGCCATAGGTCAAGATGATTGTGAGCATGATCCCAAAGGGAACAGGCGAGAAAATTTCGGAGAAAAGATAGAAGATTTCTTAGTGTTTTCTAATACTAATATTACTTCTATTCGCTTCCAATATGTATTGCCTGCCATGAAGCTTGTTTGATGAAGCATACTTAATGTAGAATTTCACACCTAAGCACGAAAAATTAGAAAAATATGACATCGAAGAATACTTTGGTTCTCTTCGTCTCAGACGGCACAAAAGATGAGAGTGGTAATAAAGGAAAGTAATACTTGTATACTGACCTATTCAATATTCAATCAAAATTAACTATTTCGTTTCCAAATGCCTGATTATTTCTTCTTTCTGGTTTAAATACTTCCCCAAATAAGACTCTTACCTTTTCCCTGTGACTCTTGAAGATATAATTGGACTTTGCAACATCCCATACTATGTCGCACTTTGGACCTCATATATTCATGCTTCACGCGATTAGTGATAAGATTCTCTGCTTCTTTTCACGATAGTAATCGAGCATCCATAGCTTTCGATTTTGTTTCCAATTTAAGGTAATGCTATTGTATTTCTGGCTTCCGGGTGGTACTCTTGGCCTACAATGATAGTCCATATGTCTTTCGTATTAAATCCATCAGTATAGTTGATATGATTATATTATTGAGGCCTCAACGACCTTTTACGTTATTTACGACTTGATAGTTTTGTCACAGGAAGGAAAAGAACAAAGATATACTCCCGGATCGCTTCGCAAATTATGAGACTGTGCATACTTTGATGAATTCGTCTCCTAGAGGGCCTTCATTGATCGCTCTAGATTCTTTGTTTTAGAAGTATCAAATGCGGTCGGTAGTCCAATGAGTGTATATTGTGTTTTGGGAGTGAGATAGTTGTGGTGTTTAGTCTTCGGTTTGAGTTACAAGTTTATCATACAGCGAGAACTTCGAACGTTCTTCTTTCGCATACTCATGAGTTAACATCTTTCTCTCCCGCTGATCTAGAAGAATCAAACGTATGCGGCAATCTTGCACGGTGAGACTCTCGGATTCAGACTGAGGACATGATAAGTTTTCTATTGAAAATGTCTGGCTTCCGAATCTTCCGAACTGGAGTTCTCAGTTCATTTGTCTTGCAGACGTGCTCCGGGCATCATCTGACCTCTTGTCACCATAAGCGCAAATTAAATTGCATTTCTAGGTCCAGGATTGATCATCCGGTGTTGGCTTGGAGAAATAGTAAGAAAGCCACTGCCTACTTACGCCGCTGTTTATGCACGACGTGTACCCCCAAATTTCTTTAAATTCGTCATAAAAGGCGAAAGTAATAAAATCCAACCGGACAGAAATCCTAGTAACGATTCAGGGTCAACAATCGACGAGGTTCATGCCCATTTATGGATGCCTTATGTGCATTTAAGGGGTAATCGACGCGCAGATCGGATAGTAATCCAGATATGGCGCCTAACGCACGGAAATGTAATCGGTTTGTGGTGCTATTGTAATAGTGTCTGGCAATGATGATCGCTCCATGGCGTCTCGTATTGGAGATTCGTAAAGTGCTGATAGATATCTTTCACGCGAAACTCTTACCTCATTCGGAGTACGCATAGGGTATTACTCAGTGTTGAGTAAACATGGAAGTAGAAATAAGCTTTTTTCTTCCCTGCAGAAATGTATCAGAATCCATACTAGACGACTTGCATAAGATGCCTGCGCTAGTATGAATCGAAGAATTTATAATCGGAGTTAATGTGGAATGATGATGCAGAATTGTCCTCGACTGAAACCTCAGCTTACCCGCGAACAAGTGGAGTCGTAACTTTCTACCAGTCAGACGTTGTCATCGCTCGATTTCAGGTCGAGAATAATCGTAAATCTTACAGTTACCACCTACCGAGGCACTTTAAACAAACCATTTCGTAGGTAAGATTACATCAAGGATCAACATTTTTAAGTCGGTATTTCAGATATCTCAATGTCAATTTATTCAGCATCAATTTTGAATGTTAGTTGGAGTTCGAATAACTTCCGAAAATTACTCCTATTTTGGTCAATTCAAACATAAAAACATATGAATAGTATTATATTCGAGGTGAATTTCCTCACAATTGTAAGGATAAAGGAGAATCAAAAAGGTGAAGAATGTCGGTATTTGGTGTTTTCTTGCCCAGGCTTCTCTCAATCGTTAGCCACTACGGGTAGTAATTTACACTTGCTGGTTTTTCCCCCTAAAGTCGATATTAGGAATGAGAAAAGAGATACGGTACCGCGAATACACCACGATTTGGATCAGCTTCGAGCGTTTTCTTGCTAATCTTCATGTAAGTGCTCTTAAGTGACTAGCAGAGATTACAAGCGCTTAGTCTTATGTCAATACACATTATTGAACATGATTTGCAAATCCGGCAATCATATGCAAGTACTTAAGCTATGTTGACTAAACGTTCACTGCGTCAACAGTACATCGCTAAAGTGTTGACATGTCAGGAAATATGGACGAGACACGCCCAGTTTCCGATCCGCTGACACTTGCGGCAACGAGCCTTGAAGAGGCGAAAGAGTAATACTCATTTTAGCTATTACCAATAATCACATTGCAGGAACGAGGTTGAGACCAAAACTTCAAATCGTCAAGACCCCTCATTTGAGGATCCGACGGCGAAAGCATCCTTGCTTCGATCTTTGGAAACTCTATAAAGAGGTCATGGAAGTCCCCCTCTAGAGTATCACTTCACCAGCAGGACATCACATCTACGCTTATCCAATCAATCAAGCCTCCCACAACAAGAAGCCTTGAGATATATTTATACCAACAATCATTCTCAAAATGAAGTTCATTTACACCACCAGTATCATCACCGCCATCTTGGCTGCTGTTGCTCCAGCTCTCCCTGTCGCTGATGCCGAAGCCAACGCTGCTATGATTCTCGAGAAGAGAGGAAGTACTCAATTCGCAGTCTACACAGATTCCTGTATGTCAATTTCACAATGATTTCCTCCTCAGTACGCTAACTAACTCTTGAATGATAGCTTGCGGTGGTGGTGCCGTTATTTTCACTGATGGAGCTGCTACTACGAAAGGCAACTTTGGAGCCACTCAACACAGCATCAAGATCTTGAGCTTGACCCCAAACTACCACGTCACCTTTTATACTAGTCTCAACCAAGGAGGTGACAGTTCCCAGCATGGAGCTGCTTCCGTTGGAAGCTGTGTTGCAAATGTCGACTTTCTGAGTTACGGATTCTACTCTGGGGCTTAGTTGATGGGTTTGACAGGACAGAAATGAAGTCTAAGATTGGAAGATGGTGTTGAAAGAAAAATTGAGGGATAACAAGGGAAAATGGAGAATAGAGGAAGTGGCAATTTAATCATTCATTCATTCATTCATTTGGCTAGGAATGACTGTCTCCGAACTGCAGCGGGAAACTCACAGACTTCTTATGTTCATCTTAGCGCTCTTTAACGAAATTTTATAGCAACTGCTCACTCTACTTGTCTTATTGTAATATATTGTCGGTACAGTGTGGTTGTGTTTGGATCGCCGCGAATCTGTTAGTATACCTTTGAAAAATCTTATAGGATCAAAGCGGATGACTTCAGCACATCAAGAACAACACTTCTAAAAGGTCTCCGCTTGTTGCAACTTAGTATATCAAACCTTTGTTTACCTCCCTTCCTCAACACATGTGATTCTAGCTTTATCCCTCTCATCCATCCCCCCCCCCCCCCCCCCCCCCACGCCAGTCAATGGCTTACCCACAATTCTAGATACTAGCGCACAAAAGCCCCCACTGGGACTTTTGCGCCTTTTCCATGCTTATGCCTTACAGTAAGTTATTTGAATAAATTTTGTGAATAGGTCGGCCACTCAACAAATCAATAATCTTTAATAATCTAACGATCATGATTTCCACTTATCATTAACACCGATAAATTATAAAAGATTAGAATTTAAAATAAAAGATTATATTATATTATAAAATTAAAAAAGCTATAGAAAAAGTAGTTTCATATATAAAATTATATTTTTAATATATATGAAATCAAAATTTAAACGAATTTTTTGTTAAATATATACGATGCTACAGTACCTCTAGAGCTGCCAGCAAATGTCAGGGGTTCATTACAACCTCTTTGTAGCTCTTCAAAGTCACCGGTCATTTGACGACTACATGGCTCTTTCATGATCAGTACCGCGCCAAGATGTTACATACCATGAACAAGCTTCACTAATCTGCTGTGCGATCACGAACGTTGCTACATACGAGCCAAGCGGCTGGACTTATAGACACTTACACCTCTGCTCCGTACGCTAAATCAACTCTTTCTTCTAAAATTCCTATAGGTAGGACAGCCCGTTCACTTCCTTCAAAACGTACATATCCCTGGCCTCTTACAAATGTTGCTAACGACGCTCCCTGCATGTCTTGCTCTGCCAATTGTGGGAAAAATTGTGTATGGCCACGTCCTGAAATGAACTACATTCCCTTTCCCTCTGGAGTTCGTTTATCGACGTAGTAAAAGCGATAACCCTTGGACGTAAACAGCGGCGTGGCAACTAGCGTTTGGACAAGATACCAAGTGCTGGATTTCGTGATTGCAAGCCCGAAAAATTCGGGCATGATCTAAGAATATAAGCACATCCTCTGATACAGGTGAAGATAGGTAGATGACGTACTAAGCTCAGTCAACATCCTATTGTTTTGGGGATATAATGGATGCAGACTCACGACCCTGTCATTTCATGGCGGAAGAACACGCTCACATTCGCCTCAAGGCATTGCCGTCAGACTTGTGGAGTTAAACGAAATATTGAAGTACAAGAAATTCCTCGGGAAGGGAATGCTCTTCCAGCACTGGACATCTGCATAATTGGGGCTGCCCTGTTCGCACGGTTGGTGGACAGGGTAAGGAGAGCTTCTAAAGGATATACAGTTTTCGCTGTGAGTTTACAAGACATCGAAAAAGCTCTTGCGCCCAAAGTGACGATCGATCCTCGTGAGAAGCTTCCTAAGGAATACTATGAGTTTTTAGACGTGTTCTTGAAGATAGAGGCAGACAAGCTGCCCCCGCACCGCCTGTATGACTACAAGATACAACTCAAGGAAGGAGCTGAACCACCCTTCGGACTTATGTACGACATGTTAAGAAGGGAGCTGCTAGTCTTGTGCGAGTACCTGGAAGAGAACCTGGGAAAAGGGTTCATCCGGGCCTCAAGATCACCTGCCGCTTCTCCGGTCATTTTCGTTAGGAAGCCAGGAGGTGGATTACGTTTCTATGTAGATTACAGAGCCCTTAACGCGATCACTGTAAAGAATAGATACCCAATCCCTTTTATCAGGGAGACACTTGATCGGCTCTGTCGAGCTAGATACTATACGAAACTTGATATCATTTCTGCCTTCAACCGGCTACACATTGCTAAGGGAGAAGAATGGAAGACAGCTTTCAGAAAAAGATACGGCCTTTTCGAGTATTTAGTCATGCCCTTTGGACTGACGAACGGACCTGCATCTTTTCAGCACTACATCAACGACGCTTTACGAGACTACCTAGACATTTTCTGCACCGCCTATCTCGACGACATTTTGATCTATAGCAACTCCCTTACGGAGCACAAGCAGCATATACGACAGATACTCCAACGTCTTAGAGAGTTTGGGTTGCAAGTAGACATTGGGAAATGTGAATTCCACGTTCAAGAAGTGAAATATCTGGGTCTCATTGTTGGCATCAATGGAATCCGGATGGATCCTAGCAAGGTCTCGGCTGTAATTGGTTGGCCACAACCAGCAAACGTGAAGGATGTTCAGAGTTTCCTTGGGTTTGCGAACTTTTACCGACGATTCATCAAGGATTTCGCTAAGAAGGTTGTGAAGAATGTGGGGTTCCGGTACAACCCCGACCGGGGCTGAAGGTTATGTTTATATAATATATTATGTAATATAGTGAGAAACCGGGCCTCTTCAAGCCTGGTAAGGGCCTTACAGGTACCCAAAATCCCTATATATACTATCCTTCGGGTAATAGGCAATGGGGATAACGAATATAATTCAATTCTTTTTATAATATTATGTGATTCACCTTAAAGGTATCATTACTGACGAAACTAACGAAGAAGGATACTCCATTTGTATGGGACGCCGCTTGCAAGCAAGCCTTTAACAGCTTGAAGGAGGCATTCACGTCTGCGCCCATTTTACGACACTTTGACCCCGATAAACCGAGTACAATCGAGTGCGACTCGTCCGACTACGTCAACGCCGGCTGTTTGTCGCAGCCGGATGAAAACGGAATTTTACATCCAGTTGCGTTCTTCTCCCAGAAACTAACACCAACCGAGTGCAACTACGACATCTATGACAAAGAGCTGATGGCCATTGTACGATCATTCGAGGAATGGAGAGCTGAGCTTGAGGGAGCAGGAGTTCCAGTCAAAGTCCTCAGTGATCACAAGAATCTTCAACACTTCATGACAACTAAGCGTCTCAGCCGCCGGCAAGCTAGATGGAGCGAGTTACTTTCGCGATTTGACTTTAGGTTGATCTATCGGCCAGGAACACAAGGAGGCAAGCCCGATGCCCTAACCAGACGTTCTTCGGACTTGCCACAAGGTGAAGAAGACGAGAGGCACCAACACCAGAATCAAGTAGTTTTGAAGCCTCACAACCTGTCTCCTGGGATGCTTCCCATTGCTCCTGATCAAAATACCTTGCACGGAGAGGGCGGAGAGGGTGGAGAGTCGCAAGCATCACTCGAGGAGCTCATATCGACAGCCTACGAACAAGACCCAACACCCTCCAAAATGATGGAAGCACTACGCAAAGGAGACCGCCAGCTACCTCCGGACCTGGCTCGGTCGAAAATAACCATTGCCATGCTCTCAGAGCGAGAAGGAAGATTGTGTGTAAGGAAGCGGCTGTTTGTACCTGAAGATGACACTCTGCGCCTCCGATTACTACAATCTCACCACGACAATGTTGCGGCAGGACACCCAGGAAGAGCGAAAACCTACGAACTGCTTGCAAGAAGCTACTACTGGCCAAGGATGAACCAAACCGTGCGGCGATACGTACGCAATTGTCATACCTGTTCACGATCGAAAGCTTCGAGGCTGCCGTATCAAGGGCTTCTTCAGCCGCTCGATCCACCAATGAGGAGATGGGAGGATATTACTGTGGACTTCATCGTTGAACTACCGAGAAGCAAAAGCGAAACGACTGGTCAAGTCTGTCGATATATCATGGTAGTGACCGACCGACTCTCAAAGCAACGTCACCTCATCGGTTGTGGGTCCATGGAGGCAAAGTACACCGCACGCTTGTTCCTCCACCATATCTGGAAACATCACGGGCTTCCTAAGACGATCGTGTCCGACCGAGGACCGCAGTTTACTTCAAGATTATGGCAACGCATTTGTCAGAGACTTGGCGTCTCTACGAAACTCTCGACGGCTTTCCACCCAGAAACGGACGGACAATCAGAAAACTCCAATCAGATCCTCGAACAATACCTTCGTGCCTACGTCAGTTATGCTCAAGACGACTGGGTGAACTGGCTACCATTAGCAGAGTTTGCCATGAATAATCACAAGTCGGAAACAACAGGAGTTACGCCATTTTATGCAGTTTACGGACAACACCCACGAATGGGCACTGAACCACCCCAAGGGGTGCGTAAACTCCCAAAAGTTCAGCAGCTAGACATCACAACAGCCGATAAGTTCGCTGAATGGATGAAAGGAATGACGGATTTTCTGCATGCAGAAATGGAAATGTCCCAGGCACGTTATGCTGATCAAGCTAACGCATCTCGATCTTCAGCTCCAGCCTCCCAGGTAGGCGATAAAGTCTGGTTAGACACGAGGAATTTGAACATGGACAGGCCAAGCAAGAAGTTGGCCGACAAGTATATCGGCCCGTTCCGTATCAAGGAGGTCATTAGCCCCGTTGCCTGTCGCCTGGATCTTCCTCCAGCATTGAGAATCCACAACGTTTTCCACACGATTCTGCTCCGCGCTGCAGCCACGGACCCCCTTCCTGGTCAACACCAGCCCCCACGTTCGCGTGTGGTACTAGAACCAGACAATACAAAAGGCAGAGCGTGGATGGTTACTGAGATATTGGACTCCAGAATTACGAAGAACCGGCAAAAGAAGGTAAGATTAGAGTACTACGTGAAATGGAAAGGCTACCCTCCTTCGTGGCGGCCTCAACGTGATCTGATACCAGGCTGCGAAGCATTGCTCTATGATTTCCATGCGCAGCACCCAGACAAGCCGTCACCGACTGAGGTATGGCGTCGCAGGAGCTCCTAATTCTTTAGGGGGGGGGTAGTGTCACGGGACCACGCGCTTTGACATCATGTGATCTCGTTTTAGTTCTTTAAAAGCGCGAGGAATCGCCAATCTTCTTCTTGATTCCTTGCGCTATATCTTGTATCTAGAATCAATGCACACCTTGACTCAAACCCTCACAAGTAGGCACCTTTTTTTCTAGGTACCGACTAAAAGATAGGTACCTATATTTCTATAGGCGACCTTTTCTTTAGGTACATTGATATTGAGAGGTACACAGATAGAAATATACTAGTCTCAAGTAGGAAAAAGCTAGCAAAAATCTTATGATAGTTAAGGCAGTGGTGCTCTTAGTTGCCGCCATCCCACCTAGCATATGCCTGGAAGCCACTTAGTTTTCGATGCCTACTCGCACTTGAGGCTTGCTTGCACTTGAGGCTTACTTGCAATTGTGGCCTTCTATTTCAAGAACACATTTCATTTTTATGTATAATCTAGGTCTTCTTTATAAGAAACAAGGTAGGTTTGTCATGGCCGAACTGATGTTCCAGCGAGTACTCAAAGCAAATAGCAGAATCCTATATATATCCTTCTATATCAAGTCGAGTTTCTTGTAGTCTTTTAAAAGAACGGGTAGTGAAAAGGCGAATATATTCATTATCTCACTTTAATATCCCCAGATATAGATATTTCTTTGCAAGTAGTTCAATATATACCTCCTCTAGATAAGTTACGTTCATCTGGATGTGAACAAGAAATTTGTCGCCTAAACTAAATTAAAGTTCACTATCGACCTCCAGCTCCTACGAATACCTGTTTTCAATAATAAACCTACGACAATACTATTAGTCCCGACGACTACTAGTATTCCGAGAACTGACCACTTCCACGTGACTCAGAAGACAAGCATTCGTAACACTTCTCATCTATGGGCCTGGTGATTGTGCCAAGATCCGTCTGTCAAGCACACCTTTTCCTGTAGTATGTATCTCACAGCCCCTGGCTGTTTACCACTTTAGGTACTTATCCTATCACTTTTGAGAAGAGTTGATAGAGCCGACATCGATTACCGATCCTCTTCTCGCATCATAACTTCCGCAATTCATCATCCGGGAAAATTCTAAATATATCTACGTATTTCACAACTCTTTATCAATCATCGGTCCTGTATCGGAAACAGTTTGTGGACTATACAATAAGTCGCATTTTCATTATGGATATCCTTGGTATCATTGTATCGTACAGTTTTTCCCTAGACCCTTTGTACCCCCAAAAAATCACCTCTCAATACTGATAACCAGGCCTGCAGTGTAATTGATAGCAGCATAGGAGTAACTATATGACAAGCAAACTTTCAAACGAATAGCATCCCCAAAAACCGCTCATAGCAAACAATACGCCTCAAGATCGAGCCCTTTTTTTCGGTTTTTTGAATTCTCTTCTTTCAGTTCTTTGAGATAGGGAAGTATCGGAGGGAATATCTTGTGAACTAATAGGGCTTGATTGACTACCAGCTTCCCTTGTTTGGTTAGAGAGATAGTGGCTTTCGAACCCTTGTGAAAGTCCAGATTCCCCTAACTCGGATTGCTGTGAGACCTCAAAATCCAGATCGGGTGGTAAGTCATCGATAACTGAACAGATTCTCTTCAAGTGAGTCGGCATCCATATATCGTAAACATTCTTGGTAAATTTATATGCTGTCCATTTCTCTTTGCCATCTAATGCCGTAAAGTCGAATGTATGAATCGGATAACGATAGAAAGTGGTTTTCCCCTCATCAATCACAGCATAATGACCGTAGATTCTCACTGTGCGATGATCGTGCGAGATTGAGAAGGCGAGTATCTCCCGATGAAGCTCCTTTTCGCGTTTCACAAGCCTGAAAAGTTCAACTATACCTCTCACTGCAAGTGTCATACTATGAGCATTCTGTCGATCGGCAATATCAAGTGCTGTGGCACCACACTTGACCTCGCATGTAAGAAACGGGAAATACATCTGCCAAGTAGCCATGAAATAGGAGGTAAAAATATCTGTAATCTCGCCGACAAAAGGCTTAAGTTTTTCAAGTTGATCGTTTGTGAACGCAGATCGTCCGAATCCCACAGAATAATCAGGCTGTGGGCGAGAACTGTAGAAAGATATAGCGCTATTCCAGCCTTCATTGACACTTTCATTCAAAGGCTTGAGATGTTTGGCACCATATATCCTTAAGACTTGAGCGGACGGACATATCAATGGGGAAATGTCTCGAACAACCATAGCTTCATTTCTTGCTTGTACAGTCTCGCAAGTTTCCTCAAACAGATCGTCACGAAATAGGGTTTCTTGAGGGACTGATTGTTCGGCCTCAAGTAAAGTTCGACAGAGTCTTTTGCTTTCATCTGTGATACCCAATTCGAATTTACCCATAAAGCTACCCTTTGTTGCAAGGACCATCTCATAGCTCGGACGCGCATAAGGTGAACTTTTTGCTTCCCTCGGCTTTTGATCGCTAGGTGTGGTAGAGCTAGGTGCGGTAGAGCCAGCTTCCGATTGTTTGCCACGAAAAGATGACGAAGATTTCTTCCTCGCAAGCAAATGATTCATGTTGCTCTCCGGTTCAAAGTATTCCTTGGGCCAACGGAGTTCCTTCCTCCAGTATTCAAGTGGGTTTATCTCCTTGCTATTAATATCAATTGCTGTGTTTTTGCTAATTGTTTCCTGGTTAGGAGATTGTAGTGGGGATGTTTGCAATCGTTTTTGAAAAGGAGTGATAGTAGAAGGGAGGGCGGCTTTGTCTTCTTGCGATCGTTTTCGTTTTCGATTCTTAGTTTGTGGAAACTTGACTTAGGTTAGCTTTATAATATAATAAATAAAGGGAAAATAATATACCTCTTTATTAAAAGTGTTGCTGGTTGGGGAGGGAAGTAAGGATTTTGGTTCGATATTCCTGTCTTTAGATACAATTCGTTCTTGGGGCCGCTGTATCTTTTCTAGGCGTGCGCTCTTACGAGAAGATAACTGTGGTCGTTCTTTCTTGATACCTTGAGGCCGTTTCCCATGAGGCCGCTTTGCTTGACGCAGAGCCATATCGACTGGACGGAGGAGGGGTAGCAGGTGGGTTTATATTACCGCTGTGGTTGGTGGACAGAAGACGAGTGGAAGAGTCAGAGATGCAGCGCCAGACGGGGGGTGGTAGGTAATGAATGCGCTAGAGTTTGGGATGAAACATGGTAGCGGCAACTATTACCATTTTTGTCAATTCGGGAAACGCAGTATCCTAAGACTAGCCTATTCAAGAAACGTAGAAGGAGTTGGTTTAGATCCGCTTTGGTGTTGGGAATACTTGTACTAACTTTTAGAGATAAGAAAGTTTAGAATCGCAAGGGAGACGGCGCTAGGGACATCAGTTAGCGCTAGGCTAAATAAAGATTAGTTTGTATTCAGCGGTATCTTATAGCCGCCGATACTGGATTTGATGATATTCTGTAGGTACAGTATTTCCTACGACGACTGGGAAGGGATAGTAGAGGCGAGAAGATAAGCCCTTACATCAAGAGATGGTCCAGTCTGCAAGCAAGTCATAATTTACCGACGTTCCGAACAAAGCCAAATAACGACATCAGGCAAAATGATTGCACCTTCATTCTGCCGCTTACAGTGGTTCCACGTCATCACCCAATAACATATAGTAGCACGACGGATGAACACCTCCTAGGATTGACAAAAGAGCTGAAGACAATCAAGTGTGCCTAAGTTATAGCTCCGTATGGCGCACTCGGTGAAGTCGTCGATTGCAATGCTGCCTGATGGAATTCTTTATTCTGTGGAACTCAATTTCACATGGACATATAGAGGTGACAACCGAATTGTGGTACAGGGTAGACTTTCCTATAGTATAGACCAGGCTTTGGTATGAACCAAAATTTGGTTTGTACTGGAGTGTGCATTGTGGTACAGACTGTATTCCGGATTTGTGAATAGCGTATAGTATACGGTCTGCAATCTGCTAAAATCTCCAGGCCTTCTATCTCATTTCATTTTACAACGTCACATGTAACTGATTCTTATTCATCAAGTTCTATTACTATATACTGTAGAGCTACTTCTGTACAGGTCTCTCATACTGTATCATCCAAGTAGAAATGAAGTCTCTGGAAACTGGCTTCACCTATCAACTTCATTTGTTTCTATAACACGTCCAAGGGACTCTTAAGGTCAAGTATCAAATATCTTTTTGTACTCAGAGATCCACCTCCCCTCCGAATATATAAGCTCTCAACCATCTAAAAATCTGTGTCAGCTCTTGATTTCGTCCGCAGAATCGGAATTTTCCTTTCACAGTCAGCTCTACTCTAAAAGTTGGCAGAAAGATTCAGTCATCTTCAGTCTGTAACTATAGATATCAGCCTGTGACATCGTATTATCTAGTGAGACACTGTTCTTTTTTCCCGCAATTGAACGCTGACCGAAATCAAATAGATGAACTCGAAGGCAAAACACTGTGACTTCAATATTATACTGTATATCGAGAATAAATACTGTAAAATGTCTGCGAATTGTGGTAATACTGTATTCTTCATCGGCGGATCGAAGGACGCTATAAAGGGAGCTCAAGAACCATTACATTAAATAGCCTATAACACTCGAGAAGGAGTATTGTAAGTCATTTTGAAGTATGGAGAAGCTGCGATCTCAACGACGCTCGACAAAAGGCATAACAGATAGTTTTCGAAGAAGAAAAATCACCTTCATGGAAAAGGCAGACGAGCTAAGGAGCGAGTTCGGTTGTGACATTTATGTTTTGGGACGGAGGAATGGAAAACTCTTCAATTACACATCTAGAGATGCACCTTCTTGGCCGCTTGGCTTGACAGAAGTCGTGAGTAGTGTTCTTTTAATTCAAAATCTATAATCTAAAAATCTATAGGATCAGAGTTATCCTAGGGCAGAAAGATATCCACCGGCTAGCTTCGTAAAACGAGGTACCAAATCTCTACTCTGTGAAGGCCGGAAGGGACAAAACAATCCTATAGTGAGAATTGAGAACTCTCACACTGGAGATATAATGGGTTCTGGGGACAATTGACTCCCAAGTTATTGACCATATTGACCATATTGACTATATAGCGTATATATGTCTCAGGCGCACAGTCATAGCATGCCACAGTCATAGCATGCCACAGTTTCGTGACCGTGGCCCGCCATGATATCCAACACATATTCTTAACACAAGAGTCCTTCTCACTGTACTGTAGATAGCTAGCTCAGTAGTTTAGAATTAAGCCTGTAACTAAGTTATTGCTGTTATCTATTTAACCTATATACCTCAAGAAATTCCATGTAAAAAAGATCCAATTGTGATAAGGAAAATTGTATACAGATTCCATTATTGGATATCCAGAAGTCTATCTCGTCCTAGTTTATATCCTTTTTATAATTGTACGCTCAGCGGAATTATCGATCTTCATATCGTCGATCCTCGAACCATTTCTATAAAAAATAATATAGAAGTATCGATCTAAGTTATATATATTGCCTCCTTTATCTGCTCTATTCGACCCAACGATATCCCCAAATCAGTGCAGAAGTATAGACTATCTTCATCAGATATATAAGTCCCTTGCATTCTATAAGTTCAATAATGGACACCATCGATATCCAACTTCTTCAACTGTAGCGGCGAATTACGTCGATAAGTATATTCAATAACTGTATACAACTTAGTCGCATTGATGTATGATTCTAATGGAATGATACGAACAATCACAGAGTTCGTTGTATCCACTGGTCCTGTTTCTTCGATAGAAATTTCGACTTGGTTGCTCCCAGTACATATCGTATTAGATATAAGCATTATGGAACTGTGCCGTAGTCGAAGATCTTGCAAGACGAATACTATCTTCATAACTCATATGACCATCCTTGCAGCGAATACCATCTTCATGATTCATATAGCGACCAATATTAAAGTAATGTAAAATTGGACTTATTTCCAATCTTTCTTGCGTAAAGCTTTTAATATATCATGTCCATAGACAAGACGACGCTCGGGGTCAAGCGAGACAACTTGTTTGGTTTTTTCGATAGAATCCGTTGATTGCGGTAAGTCCATTGTTGCATTAATCATTATATATTATTAGCGGTCACCTTATATATCCCTGCAGATCATCATAGGCTTGTCATCCTGTCATTCTATAGCTGTCATCAGGAAAAGAAAAATTCTATTGTGACTATACGGTTGTCATCATATCCTGTCTCGTCACCTTATAGGATTATTCCGCCTAATACACACGAAGGCACATGCCCTAATGTTTGTCACCGCTTCTTCCAACGCTAGCTTGTTTAGGCTACTGATTATCGATTTTACCGTACAAATTCTTCTGTCCGGCGCAAGGCGGTGACAAACATTACGGCATGTGCCTCTGTGCCTAGCGGCGCATAGCCCGTGCTCCATGTACTTAGACGCAAGGATAAATACTTGTAGTCCCTATTCTGACAACTATAATTTGTCAGCCAATCAGCTGGCAAAAATAACTTCTTTGCGCTATTTGATTGGCTAAAATTTAGATCGTGAAGTGACAGGGACTACAAGTATTTATCCTTGCGTCCAAGTATGTTTTATGCGGAGCGCAGAGGTGGATCTATCTGCCCCGCCTCAGGTGTACCTAGGTTTGATTTATGTAGTTAGAGAACATATAAGTTATAGTAACGTGGTTTATTAGTACATACACTATATCAGTATATACATCATTATTTTTACATGTAAAAAACGGTTATATATAACCATACACTTTTTTTATTTATTAATATAATTTAATTTTTCCTTATATATATTATATTTATTTATATAAATAATATAAAAATAAATTAAAATAATAAATTTTTATAATAATAAAAAAGTTATTCAAAAAAATAAATTTTTATAATACAAAATATAACATTCTTGAATTATAATTAAAATATTTATAAAAAGATTAAATTTTATAAATATTTCATTTTTATTATTTATAAGGAAACTTTTTTAGAGAAAAAATAATAATTAATAATTTAAATAAAAATATTAATAAAAGATTAATTTTGATATATTTTGAAGTAGTATATATACTGATATAATGTATGTATTAATAAACCATGTTATTCTTCTTTTCTATTTGAAAAATATATAAAATGTAATCAACTATTGTGCTATATTTGACTACCGATCTTTGTAAATGTTTACTTAGCATAATCGTGTTTGCTATATATGCAGTCTATCCGATGATGGACGTGTATACAAAAGAAGTTAAGGCTATTCATACAGCAACAGATGCACCAAGGATATACTTCTCATCTCCGCCCCCCGCGTCCCAATACACTTCCGCTTCGTCAAGAGTATACAGTAATGTTATTAGCTGGTATGATAGGATATTAGTACCAGAATCTTTTCTCGGAGGGAAAGCTATTTGAATTATTCTTGTATCATCATATCTAGAGCTGCTCGTTTTCATTTCCTGCTTGGTGAGGGAAGGACGGGAACATCCAAAAGATTTTCTCAAGTTATTCAATGCTGAAATCTGTCCTCCCTAAACTCAAAAACTTGGGGTCCACTGTTTGGGGCCAATCTGCAAATGAATCATCCTCAACATGAACACGAAAGTCCTGTCTGCCAACGTTTTGCATCTGCGCCGCTATTTTTCTTGTCAGCTCGTCACTTTCCATCTGCGCTATTTTTTTTTCCACATCGGCTCTTTCCGTGTCAGCTCTTTTCATCTCTGCCTTTCTTTCCATCTCGTCTTTTTCCATCTCCGCTTTTCTTCGTTCACTTATACTTCTCAATTTATCAAGATGACCATCCAAAGTATCGTAATTGATTGTTGAGTTAGAGGTTTTTCGTTGTTGTACAGGTGAACGAAACTCGTTTAACAATGGTGTGTCCGGGATTTTGACTTGGCAATTTGCCGAAAATTCGCTCGTTTCGGTAGTGCATTTTATCCTGGTCTCATCAAGCTCGTGGTAAGATCTCCAGCGTGAGATTATCCGAACTTTTGCTGTTGCAAAATAGTTTACGAAGACACGAGACACACCACCTATGAGAACACTTCCTCCATAGAAGTGTTCTCGGAGCATGGCCGTCTCGTAAGTCATCATACAACAAACTAGTGAGAACCACTAACACTAGCCAGGTCTGCCTTTCATCGAACTTGTAACAATCTGCGCTCTGCTATATCTAGACTAGAAATGATTATTGGTTAGCTCATGGTGGTGGTCTTTGCGGCGCCCGCACAATACTCACTTGTCGAAGAATTTACATACTGCATGATGACTGGGTGTTGCGGGAACCACCGCCATGATTGCCATTCATATTCACGTGTACGTCTGCACCTGGCACATTCCAGAGACTATATCTACTTCGATTCTCAGGATACTGAAATTTGTAGGTGATATAGACCATTTCAGAATTGGTCCTAGGAGTGATCAAAATGGTGATGGTTCCTGCTGCACTAGAAAAACGTCGATTGGTCACAATTCGGTGCTGCGGGGACCATTCCATTTGTATCGTCATACATAGACACAACAGATAAGTCCCGACTCAGCACCATACATTTTACACTTCGCTAACATCGTCGAAACACATCGAAATGAGGTTCTCCGCTCTGAAAAACTCTTATGTTCAGGCGCTGTGGGGACCGCCATTATATATCACAAACGTTGCTTGCTGCTCGTGCTGTGAGGGACATTGGATTTATATCATTGTTGTAAGAGTTCTGGAACCTCCTCACCGCACAGATTTCGATTTCCCCACTAAAACCATTAATTTTTCAGCTTTTAAGATCCTTGTTTCTTTACTAAAACTTTATACAAAATGATAAAAAGAATTCAAAATCGATTTAGAATTAATTTAATTATATATATAAAAAACACAGCTAATTTATTCTTAAATTTTTTATTTATAAAGTTATAAGCTATTGAAGATAGAAATTATAAATTTTCTAAAAAAATCGCTTATTTTGTATAGAAAAAGTATTACAAAAAAAATTTCTTCAATTTTTTCAACTTCAAATCCATACAATTTATGAACAAAAATGATTAAAAATAAAATATATATTTTTTTCGATAAAGAATAGTATTAATTAATTATTTTCAAGTTTTGAAAATAAAATGTATAGAAAAACACCATTTTGTAGGGATTTTGTTACAAAATTTATAGGGTGCGGTAAGTAAGTTCGATAACTCTTATTACTATTGTGTCATTAGTTCAGTAATCAATAAATCTTGTAACTTTCTATCTTGTTATATGACAGCAAGGATTTACAGCCGAGTTTTCCTACTTCCTGAGTGTTGAGAGGTACTTGCTTAAATATTGTGTGAGGCTACCACATTGTTGGAATATGAGAAGGATAGTGATAATTCGTGCGCTATAGATAGCCAAGTGAAACCAACAGTTACCAGCAGCTAGAGCAACATCAAATAAGTACGCTTGTAGGGGTCTGCGATACGCGACAAATTCCATTTAGTATTCAACTTCCCAACTAGTAGAACCTCGAGGGAAGAGCGATGCATAGGATCTTATATTAGTGCCCAAAACCTTACAGGGGTACCTTCATACGCAACAACTCTCGTCTAGATGAGTGTTAATGAGCTAAAGTGACATCCGCTGGCCTCTCTTACCTCTATTTTCACACTGAAGCAAAAATGGAAAAAATCGGATGCTCACCACCAGAGACTCTCTTACCTCATCATTTTTAACCACCTGTCGATCCAAGAAGTCAAAGTTTGCAGTCCACTCCATGTCTCAAGTTTCCGAGGATCAGAAAGCCTTGCAGAATTCGAGGCATAAAGAGCTGGTAGACTTGGTAACCTTGAACAGTAACTTTATGTTATATGAAGGCGATGTATCTCATGAAGGCAAAGGTGGTTCTTCATCGTGTGGATATATCATCCGTCTGCTTTTTTTGTCTTCCTTAAAGTCATTCCCAGATATTTTAATTCGAACTATCGAAAGCCTCGAACTAAAGTATGATTCCAAAGAAGAAGGAGATGATGGCCAAGCTTAATATTCAGGAGCCCATCTTAGGCAAGTGCAATCCTTTCAATCACCTAGTTGAAGAGCCACTCCTTTCCAAAATTCAATCTCTGGGAATTGAAACAATTTTTGCAACCCAACCTTCGATTTTTGGCGACTATGTCTATGTGGGATTATATGCATCTTCCACCCTATGAGGATGGGGTTCCATCTTTTAGACTTGACGGCGAAGAAGTAGTATTTCTAAGACAGAAGCAAATTATCTTAGGAAATGAATTCGAAGGACAATGGAAAATCAACCCGGCTTTTTTAAGTAAGTTACGCTTCATTCATGCATGAAATCGTGTACGCCGATTAATGAGTCTGTGTTGAATAGGCATGAGCTATTGCGAGAGACAAGAAGAAGTTCCAGAAGGCTCAATACGAGCAAAGAAACAATCAATCCGATCTTTCGTTATCATCGTACCGGTTGATGCGTCCGCCCTTCCACCCGTCATACTTCCAGAGAGCACGCTATGTATGGCTGCTCTGTTGAATATTGGTTGGACACATGAAACGGCGGGGATGATCTTTGATTCTTGGAAAGAGAACTCCAAACCTAGGAGAATGATGGCATGTGATGACCGGGACCCCACTCTCATCGAGTGAGTATTTCATCCTTCAAAACACCAGGAACCCACTGACCCTCTGTGTCTATGATAGCTATGCAATTTCCAGGGTCCAAATGAGAATGGACCAATTGATTATTGCAAAGCACGCAAAAGTCGATGCAAGAAAGGAAATGACTATTCTCGGACTATCCACCAAATTCCAGGACGATATGCTAGATCAAGACAGCGATCTTCTCGGTGGTCATGTCCATACGATGGACCTTTGTTTTTGGATAATTGATGCACTGGGAAAGCGATACAGGAACTTGGTATTAAGATTGAGATATCTCAAGAACTATGCGGCCACAGGCATGAAGGTGATGAATTGGTGATGGAACACGGCTCAGGCACGCAACAAACACAGTTGGAAAGGGGGTTGGTTGCCACTGGGCTCTCTGGGTTACCAGATTGGATCAATGCCGGTGTATAACTTGAATACTCGCAGTAGATAGATGTTATTAATGTATCTTCAACGTTCATGATCAGAGAAGACAAATGGTGTGTAATATGTTTCGCCTATGTGGAGGTGGGCTCTTCAGCCACACTTGCACAGCCACAATTTGAATATCATCCATCTAATGCTTTAAAGTATCGTTGTTTCTTACGACATCATATCTTCGTAAGTTTCATATCATACAGTTCTCCTTAATACTCTAACACCTGATCAGGTACTCAGATTTCAATTATGATAACAAGAAACTCACCGCATTCATAACATATACAAATTAAAGCCACATCTCGCAAACGCCAAAAGGTGTCCTCATGGCCGGTGCTATCTCCACTCTCCTCGTGGGAGTTCTCACTGCCGTTGGCAGATCAGACCCAAGTTCACGGAGAGGACTAAGTCTCAAAACCGCTCTTGCCGTTCCGTTGACTGTGGCTTCTCTTGCCGGGCTTTGGGAATATCAGGTGACCAAGAGTGTTCCCGAACCTTATTTGGTACAGTCCTCTTCATTCAAACCTCAATCCGATGCACTAGCTCATATTATCTAGGATGAAGTATTTCATATACCACAAGCTCAAGCATGCTGTAGATGGGATTATGGTACCTGGGATCCGAAACTTACCACACCACCTGGATTGTATGATTCCCCTTCAGACAATATGTAATCCTAAACATCGCTGACCAGAAACTAGATATTGGTGGAGTCATTTTCTGAGCATAATTTCTGGATTCACAACATGCAATGTACATTTTCTTCGGATAACCAATGTTATTGCGCTCACATCTATTATGATGCTTGCTTGGAAATGTCGGAATCTTATTCTTCGAGCTGGGGTTGAAACCCCCAAAGATCAAGAACCCAAATTGATATCCGCAGATTCATTGCATACAGCTGCAAACATTGCCTTATTTCCTCCTCTCTTTTTCTTCTCTGGATTGTATTATACTGACGTGCTATCTACTTGTGTGGTTTTATATCTGTATAAGCAATTTCTTGAACAAGCAGAATCTAAGAAGATTCACAAATCGTGGAAGAATGGTGTATGGTTTTATCTTTGTGGTGTATTGGCTCTATGCATGAGACAGACAAACATCTTCTGGGCCGCCGTGTTCTTAGGGGGCATGGAGGCTGTAAGGACGACGAAAGGGACGTACCGTCCTGCTGCTCCGTCTTTGAGGCATCATCTCGCATCGTCAATGGAGGAATACTTAAAAGAAGTTGGTGACCTTGTAAAGTCGGATCATCCACATGATCCACCTCTACATGTTGCTAGTCTTGAAGGTAATTTCTATTTCATCCAGGTTTCCTCGACAGTTTCCAATTTCACTCTGTGAAAAAGAGCTAACAACCTCCAGATTTCGTCCTCACACCCCTTTCAATTGTCTGGACCGCCATAACCCGCCTCCCGACTATCCTCCTCAACTTGGCTCCCCACATCTCACTCCTCATCACATTTGGCGCATTCGTCTTCATCAACGGCGGTGTTGTCCTAGGCGATAAATCGAACCACGTCGCCACCATCCACCTCTCACAGCTTCTATATCTCTGGCCCTTCATAGCCTTCTTCTCATTTCCCCTACTCATCCCAACTCTCTTCTCATTCCTCCTAAACTCAATCGACAATATTCTCCATCCATCCAGATTTCTCAATTCCTCTCTCAACACCCAACTCCGGGCCCTCATAACCTTCGCTCTCATCCTAGCATCTCTCCTCGGCTCCCTCGTAATCATAAAACACAACACCATAATCCATCCATTCACCCTCGCCGACAACCGTCACTACATCTTCTACGTATTCCGATACAGTATTCTCCGACATCCTCTTATCCGCTACCTCCTGGCTCCCATCTACATTTTCTGTTTCTTCCTAATCTTCAACACATTCTCCGGATCCCCATCCGAATATACGTCATCGCCCAAGAAAGAAGCACCCAACAAAATCCCCAACCCCTCATCTCCACCTCCTCCCCCAACCTCCTCCTCACCTCTCCCCCTCACCCCCCTCACCACCCTCCTCCTCCTCCTCCTCACCACCACCCTCTCCCTCATCACCGCCCCCCTCGTCGAACCCCGCTACTTCATCCTCCCATTTATATTCCTGCGTTTACATTTCCCCACCCTCTCAACTTCCTCTTCCCCAAAAATCAATATCCGTTTACACGCCGAGACGATCTGGTATCTGTTAATTAATGCGGTTACGGGGTATATATTTTTGTATCGGGGATTTGAGTGGACGCAGGAACCCGGGAGGGTGCAGAGGTTTATGTGGTAGATATGTTTTTTTTAAGGGGGTGGGGAGGTTTTGATGTTTGGGGGTGTGGAAGCTGGGGGGAGGGAGTAGGTTGAGTGATGTAGAAGGTTCGTTGGACGAGGGATCGAAGAATAAACCGGGTTATTATGGGATGGAATCAGTCAGTGATTTAGAGCGAAAATGTATTTTGTTGTCGTGGAGCATGTACATATAGTTGTAAGATAGATATAGACAAACCTTGAGGACATATTGCTATCCTATATCGTCTCACTGCTTCACAAGGCCAAACCCACCTTTCCTAATTTCCTGCGTGTACGAACTCACTTCCCAGCCCATTCATATGACAATGTCGATTCGGTATTATATTTTTATCTCATTCCTATTTATTTATCCGGTTGGAGTCTTGAAAGTTCCATTCTGATATAACATCACCAACGCCCCAAATCCCCATATTCCCATACTCTGTTCTGTTCCATATCTTTATAACATGATATGATTTACTGTAGCCAATCCAGTTCCAATAATCCCGACACCCTTCCGTATCCATATCACCAACACAAAGCTATGGGCAGTGACCCTATTCTCAATCTTCTCGAGGTACTGAAATATACGTCATCTGGTGTTGTGAACATTCTTCTTTACACATTCCCTATTCATTCCCCCATTACTTCACCGAACGACGTCCGCAGTTACGCATGAGTTTCCCAATCGTCCAGGCTGTGGTCCAACAGGAGGTTTCTTTTACTTCCCGAATCCATCTTGAACATCCAAGACATCAAAGTGATTGATTCAATCTACTTTAAATGTTGAATTGTCTTCAAAAATCGACACCTTGGGCGTCATACTATTTTGGGATATTAGTATCATACCCATTTCCCTTCCTCACATGACACCCCCTATCACAAACTCAATCGATCCAAACTTATCTCTCCTCCACTTCTTCTCCTCTTTATCACTCCCAGCTGAAAGTATCTCTCCTCTCCCCCCTGCGTGCGTCCCCCAATATACCATTTCTCCTTTCCCATCACATCTCGAAAGCCTTCGGAGCTACTATCGCTTCCCCTCCTATCTGCTGATGTTTTAAAGCCTGCATATTTGTTCGAATGATACGGTACATTTTGATTTGAGATCTGGTTGGAACTTGAGGTTGGGGATGTGGGATTCGATATATTCGAGTTCGCATTTACATTTTGATTTTGATTAAGATAACTCGAGGCAGCGGGACTAGGACTCGAATCGTAGCTTCCCACGGGACTACTTCCACCGGTCGTTCCACGACTTCGATCGATTCCTCGTAGAGCATTTGATGGAGAGTTTGATTTCGTGCTGGTACTTATTTGGCGCGGTTGTGAAGGTGTGGATTGCGAATGTGAATGTGCGTGAGCAGGTTTTTGGTGCGAGGAAGAGCTAGTGTTGCTTATGATGGGAGTGGAGGAGAGTTGGGAAGAGCGGAAGGAGGCGAGGAAGGTTGAGAGAAAGGGACGGGATTGTTGGGCTGGAGGTGGCATTTTGGGCGAGGTAGGTTGTGTGATGTTGATGTTGATGTTGATGTTGATGTTGATGATTTTGACGGTTCAAGATTGTTGTATGCCGTACTGTCTATGAGTGTTTAGAGACCAGCGGGTGGATGCCGTGTTCTTGCTTGATCTTCGAGAAGTCTAGTAAGGTTATTGGTGATAAGAGATATCAGATGGAAGATTGTGGATCGTGTATTCATGCGTGGAGGGAAATCGTGGGACGATATTATGTACTCCGTATGAGGCGGCTGCTATTGATGTAGTGACCCGCTCAAGTACATTAGATCCGTCCAAGCGGGTTTGTCTCAAGGTGGTTTTTAATGGATTCCCTTCCTGTTCTGAATCGTGTGTATGATCGATGAAGTGGCAGATGTGTTGGTATGTTCGTTGCAAAAGTAAGTGAAATTGCTGTAAAATTGCTGTAAAACTTGATGGTAAAGGCTAATCCTCGCGGGTGGTTTCGAGGAATTAAAGTATATTCGATAAAGGTCGTCCTTACTGGTTTTTTTTGGTGTTGTGATTGAACCTCGGGTGTACTCGGCTCTTGCACTTCCTTCTTCCTTCCTGGTGTTCCTTGTTTGATTGTGTTTATGGGCCAAGTCACGAGATTGGATGGGAATTAATAAATGTCAGACCCCCGTTATCGTGTTAATGAATGGAAGGTTGAATAGGTACCAAAGAGGAATTGAGGGGAACACACGGGATGATTAGTTTCTTGTCTAGCTAGTAGCAACTACCTACTTCGTACGTACTGCTCTCCAACGGTGAAGATGTTTATTATATTTCTACCGCACAGATTTCTTGAATTTCGTTGGATATCTAAATGGTAAATTGCTCTTTCCTGATTGGGAAATGATCGATGTCGGAAATAAGCGGGATAGGTGTCATTCGATCGGATGCATGTAGATTATGCGGGACGATTAAGTTAAGTTAACTTGGACGATGATTACTTATGACATAAAAAGTAATTAATAAGTTAACGCGGGGACGAATTAGAAACCGTTGATTTAAAAAGTCAGGTAAAGAAAGGTACGAAGTACATGCTCCGTAGGTAAAAGTTAGAATAATGATTATCAGGGAAATAATAGTTAGCATAGTTATTATTTTAGTTGGTAATATATCATCTTATTAACCTTAAATTCATTCGACGATAATAATGACAAACATCGTTGCACAAGCAAAAAGGGCCGTAGAGAAGTTACGAGTACCACTCTGTTGTGTGACGTGTAATGGAAGAACAATACGATTGTGGAAAGGGATTACTTTCAACAATGGTAGACCCGAGCGGGGAAAAGGTGCGAAACAAACACATTGCCCATTATTAAAATGATCAATGATTCTACTTTCAAATGTATAGACTTTGGCCAACAAAGAACATCAACATGCACGTTCAACAAGCTTTGCGGCCAAATAGTGGTAATGGGAAGCATTGTGAAGAATAATCACACAAATACCAGTAAATCAGCTGAAATATCACATGAAAGTATAACAAAAGAACAATTCAGCTTCGGCTAGGGTATTTTTGGAAGCAAGTTTCTAGACATTGATCGTAGGTAAAAGTTCGCTTGTTGAGATAGGAGAAAAGCAGCAGCTAACAGGCAAGAATTGAGGTTTGTCGCCCACTTGGGTACATGATTTGAAGCGCAAAATATAATATTAGAATGGCTTTGAATCCTTTCTAAAACTTCCGGTCACCAATAATGGTAGAGGTTAGTAGATAGGTATATACAAGGTCTAAACGTATACATGTTTTTGAAATGTTATGAAAAGTTGAATCGAGGACGGTGAAATCTCGAGAGATCATCGATGCTGAAAATGATTATGTAATAGTGCCTGAGGCTAGTAATAATTCTTCCGGCTACTGCCGACTAACATTCTCAATCACGAATATATCGTCGCCCTCAAGATTTCCATTGAACAACCAACAACACATTCTCCTCTTCAAAATGGGCAGCAACGGCGATGTGAGTGTCTCCTGCACGTGTCAAATGCTTCGCACATTTTGCTGACAAGATTTGCGCTTTCAGTTCCACGTTTCCACAGGTATCACTCCTCCAAAGGGACCTGTCTCCTACTCGACATACAAGTCTCCCTATGGACCTAAGTACGATGCGCGATGTTTCAAGGAAGAAATCACAAACTGATGGACCCGCAGATACAAGATCCAACCAAATATTGCCGGATGGACCCCAAAGGCAGCTTCCAAGGTGTATGTAGATTTTTTTGGAATGGGCACAATATTTATACCCCGGGCCGTGTGAAGACTGGAACTACGATACTTTACGTTCAGATGATATATTAAATGCTTTACTTTGAATGGCAGAATTGAGTTGGGAACCTGGCTAATATTGGCATGCAGTGGCCTTACTTTAGCAGGATTCGGTGCTACTGCTGGATTCTTCGCTCTTTTCTTCTTCTCCGACATTCCTAGAGTACGAAACGATATCATGGTTGTAAGTTGGCACCCGATGGTATATTGCGGTATTTTGGCTCATGATTAAACAGAAAATTCCAATTATTGGTGACCGCTGGAGAAAGGATATTCCTGCATCCGACAACGTACGTTATTTTTATTTGTTTTACGTTACTAGAATCGCCAGTTGGCTCTTGGACTAGGAGAGAGAAGGTCTTGATATGGCAAATTGTTGGCCTATAAAATTGCCATCAATAACGTCAAGAAGCCGATGTCACAAGTGTACATCGGTTGCTTCCTTCCAGACTCCTTTTCCGAACCGAGTTCTTGACCAGAGCAAAAAGTCCACGCCAGTCACACACCATTTACTCGGCTAAAGCTGACATTGTTTTCTTCTAGCCTTTTTAAAGTTTGTGTCGCTGGCCCAGGGTTGGGAGGATGGAGTGAAGGCAAGAAGTGCATGGTAGACAAAATATCGTATTGTACAAAAGATTATCTGAATTAGACCTCACATTCACTCTCACCTTTTTTTCCATGCCATTTACATGTAATGTAATATTTACTGCCAAAAAATATTCAAGATGTTAGTTTTTAGGTAGTTCCAGAAGTTCATAGCAAGGCTGTCCTCGAAGTTCTCGAACCTTCCAAATTTGGAATTACCAATCCAACCTCTCGCGAGGCTGACAATTACCATCTTCAATAACATCCAATGCCAACACTCATTGTACTCAACCATTTTCCCTACTTATCCTAAATTAATATCATTAAATTTGCTCGTAATACGATTCTTCAGTACAAATTCGTTCATTTCAGACTACGTTTCAATAGTATTCTCAACAGCACAGCCCTCTTGCGTAACGAGGCTGAAATCCACCCCCATAATCAATCAACCCCAAAAATAATTTACACCGGCATATCAAAAAAAACAACCTATATTCAGCAAATAAACCGGACGGCCTAGTAAACATACGTCTTAGGTTTATATCGGTCCAATCATCGTCTCCGCCGTAAAGTGGCATCATGGTAGGATCCGATCTACCTCACGATCCCAAAAAAGCTCTCGAGTTTAAGAACAAGGGAAACGATCATTT